AAACGATATTATAACCGTGATCGATAAAAGACAGTACTGTGCAGCCGTCTTCATCAACCTGGCCAAGGCTTTCGACTCTGTCAATCACCGCATTCTTATTGGCAGACTAAATAGCCTTGGTTTCTCAAATGACTGCCTCGCCTGGTTCACCAACTTCTTCTCAGAGTTCAATGTGTCAAATTGGAGGGCCTGTTGTCTGGACCTCTGGCAGTCTCTATGGGGGTGCCACAGGGTTCAATTCTCGGGCCGACTCTATTGTCTGTGTATATCAATGATGTCGCTCTTGCTGCTGGTGACTCTCAGATCCACCTCTACGCAGACGACACCATTTTAAATACATCTGGCCCTTCATTGGACACTGCGTTAACAAACCTCCAAACGAGCTTCAATGCCATACAACACTCCTTCCGTAGCCTCCAACTGCTCTTAAACACTAGTAAAACTAAATGCATGCTCTTCAACCGAACGCTGCTTGCACCCGCCCGCCCGACTAGAATCACTACTCTCGGTGGGTCTGACTTAGAATATGTGGACAACTACAAATTCCTAGGTGTCTGGTTAGACCGTAAACTCTCCTTCCAGACTCACATTAAGCATCTCAAATCCAAACTTAAATCTCGAATCGGCTTCCTATTTCGCAACAAAGCCTCCTTCACTCATGCTGCCAAACATGCCCTCGTAAAACTGACTATCCTACCGATCATTGACTTCGGCGATGTCATTTACAAAATAGCCTCCAACACTCTACTCAGCAGATTGGATGTAGTCTATCACAGTGCCATCCGTTTTGTCACCAAAGCCCCATATACTACCCACCATTGTGACCTGTATGCTCTCGTTGGCTGGCCCTCACTACATATTCGTCGCCAAACCCACTGGCTCCAGGTCATCTATAAAATCACTAATAGGCAAATCCCCGCCTTATCTTAGCTCATTAGTCACCATAGCAACACCCACCCGTAGTATGCACTCCAGTAGGTATATCTCACTGGTCATCCCCAAAGCCAACACCTCCCTTGGCCGCTATTCCTTCCAGTTCTCTGCTGCCAATGACTGGAACGAACTGCAAAAATCTCTGAAGCTGGAGACTCTTATCTCCCTCACTAACTTTAAGCATCGGTTGTCAGAGCAGTTTACCGATCACTGCACCTGTACACAGCCCATCTGAAATTAGCCCACCCAACTACCTCATCCCCATACTGTTATTTATTTTGCTCATTTGTTCCCCAGTATCTCTATTTGCACATCATCTCTTGCACATCTATCATTCCAGTGTTAATACTAATTGTAATTACTTTGCACTATGGCCTATTTATTGCCTTACCTCCATAACTTGCTAAATTTGCACACACTGTATATATATGTATTTCTGTTGTATTTTTTTTTTTGTGGAATGTGGAAATTGAGGTGACTAAACTGCTTGGAGTAACCCTGGATTGTAAATTGTCAAGGTCAAACATATTGATACAACAGTAGCTAAGATGGGGAGAAGTCTGTCCATAATAAAGCGCAGCTTGGCAGTCTTAACAACACTATCAACAAGGTAGGTCCTACAGGCCCTAGTTTTGTCGCACATGGACTACTGTTCAGTCGTGTGGTCAGGTGCCACAAAGAGGGATTTAGGAAAATTGCAATTGGCTCAGAACAGGGCAGCACGGCTGGCCCTTGAATGGACACATTAATAATATGCATGTCAATCTCTCCTGGCTCAAAGGGGAGGAGAGATTGACTTCATCACTACTTGTATTTGTGAGAGATATTGACATGTTGAATGTACTGAGCTGTCTGTTTGAACTACTGGCACACAGCTCGGACAACCATGCATACCCCACAAGACATGCCACCAGAGGTCTCTTCACAGTCCCCAAGTCCAGAACAGACTATGGGAGGCGCACAGTACTACAGAGAGCCATGACTACATGGAACTCTATTCCACATCAAGTAACTGATGCAAGCAGTAGAATCAGATTTAAAAAACAGATAGAAATACACCTTATGGAACAGCGGGGACTGTGAAGAGACACAAACATAGACACAGACACACGATAACATACGCACTATACACACACGTACACATGGATTTTGTGTTGTAGATATGTGATAGTAAAGTAGAGGCCTGAGGGCACACACTTAATGTGTTGTGAAATCTGTTCCGAATGTATTGTAATGTTTTTAAAATGTATATACTCCAGAATGTCATGAAGAGTGATCAGATGAATTGCAATGAATTGCAAAGTCCCTCTTTGCCATGAAAATGAACTTAATCCCAAAAAAAACATTTCCACTGCATTTCAGCCCTGCCACAAAAGGATCAGCTGACATTATGTCAGTGATCTCTCGTTAACACAGGTGAGAGTGTTGACGAGGACAAGGCTGGAGATCACTCTGTCATGCTGATTGAGTTAGAATAACAGACTGGAAGCTTTAAAAGGAGGGTGGTGCTTGAAATCATTGTTCTTCCTCTGTTAACCATGGTTACCTGCAAGGAAACACGTGCCGTCATCATTGCTTTGCACAAAAAGGGCTTCACAGGCAAGGATATTGCTGCTAGTAAGATTGCACCTAAATCAACCATTTATCGGATCATCAAGAACTTCAAGGAGAGAGGTTCAATTGTTGTGAAGAAGGCGTCAGGGCGCCCAAGAAAGTCCAGCAAGCGCCAGGACCGTCTCCTAAAGTTGATTCAGCTGCGGGATCGGGGCAACGTTAGTGCAGAGATTGCTCAGGAATGGCAGCAGGCAGGTGTGAGTGCATCTGCATGCACAGTGAGGCAAAGACTTTTGGAGGATGGCTTGGTGTCAAGAAGGGCAGCAAAGAAGCCACTTCTCTCCAGGAAAAACATCAGGGACAGACTGATATTCTGCAAAAGGTACAGGGATTGGACTGCTGAGGACTGGGGTAAAGTCATTCTCTCTGATGAATCCCCTTTCCGATTGTTTGGGGCATCCGGAAAACACCTTGTCCGGAGAAGACAAGGTGAGCGCTACCATCAGTCCTGTGTCATGCCAACAGTAAAGCATCCTGAGACCATTCATGTGTGGGGTTGCTTCTCAGCCAAGGGAGTGGGCTCACTCACAATTTTGCCTAAGAACACAGCCATGAATAAAGAATGGTACCAACACATCCTCCGAGAGCAACTTCTCCCAACCATCCAAGAACAGTTTGGTGACGACCAATGCCTTTTCCAGCATGATGGAGCACCTTGCCATAAGGCAAAGGTGATAACTAAGTGGCTCGGGGAACAAAACATCGACATTTTGGGTCAGGAAACTCCCCAGACCTTAATCCCATTGAGAACTTGTGGTCGATCCTCAAGAGGCGGGTGGACAAACAAAAACTCACAAATTGTGACAAACGCCAAGCATTGATTATGCAAGAATGGGCTGCCATCAGTCAGGATGTGGCCCAGAAGTTAATTGACAGCATGCCAGGGCGGATTGCAGAGGTCTTGAAAAAGAAGCGTCAACACTACAAATATTGACTCTTTGCATAAACTAAATGTAATTGTCAATAAAAGCCTTTGACACTTATGGAATGCTTGTAATTATACTTCAGTATACCATAGTAACATCTGACAAAAATATCTCATAACACTGAAGCAGCAAACTTTGTGAAGACCAATATTTGTGTAGTTCTCAAAACTTTTGACCACGACTGTATTGTAATGTTTTAAAAATTGTACAACTGCCTTAATTTTGCTGGACCCCAGGAAGAGCAGCTGCTGCCTTGGCAGGAACTAATGGGGATCCATAACAAACCCCAGGAAGAGTAGCTGCTGCCTTGGCAGGAACTAATGGGGATCCATATAAACCCCAGGAAGAGTAGCTGCTGCCTTGGCAGGAACTAATGGGGATCCATAATAAACCCCAGGAAGAGTAGCTGCTGCCTTGGCAGGAACTAATGGGGATCCATAATAAACCCCAGGAAGAGTAGCTGCTGCCTTGGCAGGAACTAATGGGGATCCATAATAAACCCCAGGAGGAGTAGCTGCTGCCTTGGCAGGAACTAATGGGGATCCATAATAAACCCCAGGAAGAGTAGCTGCTGCCTTGGCAGGAACTAATGGGGATCCATAATAAACCCCAGGAAGAGTAGCTGCTGCCTTGGCAGGAACTAATGGGGATCCATAATAAACCCCAGGAAGAGTAGCTGCTGCCTTGGCAGGAACTAATGGGGATCCATAATAAACCCCAGGAAGAGTAGCTGCTGCCTTGGCAGGAACTAATGGGGATCCATAATAAACCCCAGGAAGAGTAGCTGCTGCCTTGGCAGGAACTAATGGGGATCCATAATAAACCCCAGGAAGAGTAGCTGCTGCCTTGGCAGGAACTAATGGGGATCCATAATAAATACAAATAGGAAACATCATGACCTCAGAACATGTTTATTATGAACCATGATAATGATATGGCTGCTTTAGAGAGTAAAAAACACCCAATACAGGTACTACCTCAATTGGTTCTGTGATGTAACATGTAAATAGAAATTATTTAAATATATATATATTTAAAACATTATATGAAACATTGGCAATATAAAACAGAATTGACTAATATTGCCCATTATTGTAAAACAACAACTTTGTATCACCATTCAGCAGTAGCTTCTCAAAACCAAAATGAAGGTGTAGAAACAAGAACCCGGTCAGTAAATTGCTGCTCATATAAAATAACCAGTTATCTAATAAAGACGAGGCCAATGGGGAAGTTGACCCTCCTATTAAAGGCCTTTGTGTTTCCAGTTACACCTTCCCCTTCTAGTGTCAACTCAACTCTTAGTTGAATTTCACAGATGTATTTTAGGTCTATTTCATAGAAAGGGTTAGGGTTAGGGTCAGGGGTTAGGGTCAGGGGTCAGGGTTAGGTCATACAGGCACATGAAGTTCCACAAAATCTTCATCAGACAAACACCTCCACACATACACACACATCACTATCCATCCATCCATCCATCCATCCATCCATCCATCCATCCATCCATCCATCCATCCATCCATCCAAAGCAGGGATGGCTCAAACCATTGCCTTGTGGAAGCCCAACAGTTCAGTCAGTTCAGCTCCATCAGAAGTTCTTGCTCTTGGAGAAGTAGAAGTCTATTCCTCTGTCCTTGTGTTGTTTAGGGGTGTGGGACGGCCCCTTCTTTCCTCTGGCCGAGGGGCCAGCACCAGTCTGCAGGAGAGATTACTTTACATTTAGAACTGAAACCTGTCAATAGAACGGCCTTGAAGTAAGACAGGTTCACATAACAACTAAAATGTCTCAAGAGACAATGACCGTGAAGTGATGTATTTCTGAGACAGGTTAAGTTAGCACAAACACATGGAATGAATCAATTCAATTCTTACATTATTCTTATGACCACTTGGTTCCTTTGCTTTCCTTCGCTATATACATTGATCATAACTGGTAGAGCCATTCTAGAGATGCTCTACATACACCACTAAACATCTGATCATATGGAGAGCGTCGCTGCACAGCTATTTTCAGGTCTCTCCAGAGATGTTCGCTCAGGTTCAAGTCCGGGCTCTGGCTGGGCCACTCAAGGACATTCAGAGACTTGTCCCGAAGCCACTCCTGCGTTGTCTTGGCTGTGTTCATCAAGGATCTCTCTGTACTCTGCACGTTCATCTTTCCCTTGATCCTGACTGTTCTCCCAGTCCCTGCCGCTGAAAAACATCCCCACAGCATGATGCTGCCACCACCATGCTTCACCGTAGGGATGGTGCCAGGTTTCCTCCATTTTTACATTTACATTTACATTTACATTTTAGTCATTTAGCAGACGCTCTTATCCAGAGCGACTTACAGTTAGTGAATACATTTTTTTTTTTATACTGGCCCCCCATGGGAATCGAACCCACAACCCTGGCGTTGCAAACGCCATGCTCTATCAACTGAGCTACATCCCTGCCGGCCATTCCCTCCCATACCCTGGACGACGCTGGGCCAATTGTGCGCCGCCCATGAGTCTCCCGGTCGCGGCCGGCTGCGACAGAGCCTGGATACGAACCAGGATCTCTAGTGGCACAGTTAGCACTGCGATGCAGTGCCTTAGACCACTGCGCCACTCAGGAGACCGTGCCTTAGACCACTGCGCCACTCCAGACGTGACGCTTGGCATTCAGGCCAAATAGTTCAATCTTGGTTTCATCAGACCAGAGGATCTTGCTTCTCATGGTCTGATAGTCTTTAGGTGCCTTTTGGCAAACTCCAAGTGGGCTGTCATGTGCCTTTTACTGAGGAGTGGCTTCCATCTGGCCACTCTACCATAAAGGCCTGATTGGTGGAGTGCTGCAGAGATGGTTGTCCTTCTGGAAGGTTCTCCAATCTCCACAGAGGAACTCTGGAGCTCTGTCAGAGTGACCATCTGGTTCTTGGTCCCCTCCCTGACCACGGCCCTTCTCCCCCGATTGTTCAGTTTGGCCAGGCGGCCTGCTCTAGGAAGAGTCTTGGTGGTTCCAAACTTCTTCCATTTAAGAATGATAATAATAAATAATAATATGCCATTTAGCAGACGCTTTTATCCAAAGCGACTAACAGTCATGTGTGCATACATTTTTACGTATAGGTGGTCCCGGGGATCGAACCCACTACCCTGGCGTTGCAAGCGCCATGCTCTACCAATTGAGCTACAGAGGCCACTGTGTTCTTGGGGACCTTCAATCCTGTCTCGGAGCTCTACAGACAATTCCTTTGATCTCATGGCTTGGTTTTTGCTCTGACATGCACTGTCAACTGTGGGACCTTATATAGACAGGTGTGTGCCTTTCCAAATCATGTCCAATCAATTGAATTTACCACATGTGGACTCCAATCAAGTTGTAGAAACATCTCAAGGATGATCAATGGAAACAGGATGCACCTGAGATCAACTTCGAGTCTCATAGCAAAGGGTCTGAATACTTACGTAAATAAGGTATTTTTTTATTACATTTGCTGAAATGTCTAAAAACCTGTTTTCACTTTGTCATTATGGGGTATTGTGTGTGTAGATTGCTGAGGAAACAAATTAATTTAATCAATTTTAGAATAAGGCTGTAACGTACCAAATGTGGAAAAAGGGAAGGGGTCTGAATAATTTCTGAATGCACTGTACACCACAAAACAGTGATATGTTGTTTACTACACCAATTCCTCTTTCTGTGAAGTTCACATCTTTAATTACACCCACCGGCTTCTTGTTGGCATGGCGACTCCATTCTGGCACCATGACGATGGGGGAAGGGTATGTCTCGTCGAGGGTCACCAGTGCGTGAGACAGGGAGGCGGAGCTAAGGGTCCAGGGGGTGTGGACGTCCCCCCCTCTGATCCCCTGGAGCTCTTGGACCCAGAATCTAACATAGTCCCCCTGAAGAGGAGACAATCACCTATTACAGACCCAGTGTCTAACATAGTCCCCCTGAAGAGGAGACAATCACCTATTACAGACCCAGTGTCTAACATAGTCCCCCTGAAGAGGAGACAATCACCTATTACAAACCCAGTGTCTAACATAGTCCCCCTGAAGAGGAGACAATCACCTATTACAGACCCAGTGTCTAACATAGTCCCCCTGAAGAGGAGACAATCACCTATTACAGACCCAGTGTCTAACATAATCCCCCTGAAGAGGAGACAATCACCTATTACAGACCCAGTGTCTAACATAGTCCCCCTGAAGAGGAGACAAAACCCAGTGTCTAACATAGTCCCCCTGAAGAGGAGACAATCACCTATTACAGACCCAGTGTCTAACATAGTCCCCCTGAAGAGGAGACAATCACCTATTACAGACACAGTGTCTAACATAGTCCCCCTGAAGAGGAGACAATCACCTATTACAGACCCAGTGTCTAACATAGTCCCCCTGAAGAGGAGACTATAACCTATTACAAACCCAGTGTCTAACATAGTCCCCCTGAAGAGGAGACAATCACCTATTACAGACCCAGTGTCTAACATAGTCCCCCTGAAGAGGAGACAATCACCTATTACAAACCCAGTGTCTAACATAGTCCCCCTGAAGAGGAGACTATCACCTATTACAAACCCAGTGTCTAACATAGTCCCCCTGAAGAGGAGACAATCACCTATTACAGACCCAGTGTCTAACATAGTCCCCCTGAAGAGGAGACAATCACCTATTACAGACCCAGTGTCTAACATAGTCCCCCTGAAGAGGAGACAATCACCTATTACAAACCCAGTGTCTAACATAGTCCCCCCTGAAGAGGAGACAATCACCTATTACAGACCCAGTGTCTAACATAGTCCCCCCTGAAGAGGAGACAATCACCTATTACAGACCCAGTGTCTAACATAGTCCCCCTGAAGAGGAGACAATCACCTATTACAGACCCAGTGTCTAACATAGTCCCCCTGAAGAGGAGACAATCACCTATTACAGACCCAGTGTCTAACATAGTCCCCCTGAAGAAGAGACAATCACCTATTACAGACCCAGTGTCTAACATAGTCCCCCTGAAGAGGAGACAAAACCCAGTGTCTAACATAGTCCCCCTGAAGAGGAGACAATCACCTATTACAGACCCAGTGTCTAACATAGTCCCCCTGAAGAGGAGACAATCACCTATTACAGACCCAGTGTCTAACATAGTCCCCCCTGAAGAGGAGACAATCACCTATTAACAGACCCAGTGTCTAACATAGTCCCCCTGAAGAAGAGACAATCACCTATTACAGACCCAGTGTCTAACATAGTCCCCCTGAAGAGGAGACAATCACCTATTACAGACCCAGTGTCTCAGTTGTCATAGCAGAAGCTTTCTGGGTAATTGTATGGTTACTTGCTATAGCGTGTTCCTCCTCCTACGTGTTAACCCCAAGGAAGCAGACCTCATTACATCAGATAACTAGTTATGAAGCAACTAGCTTTGGAGACTGGATGATCTATTCTGACATGCCAGTGTTGCAGGCCTTTCACCTTCAGGTAAATGATCTATTCTGACATGCCAGTGTTGCAGGCCTTTCACCTTCAGGTAAAGCTGCGGTAGTTCTACAGTGTTATTGGTCAGACTGAAACATACGTTGTTGTCGTAGTCGAGTCCTTGTTTGATCATGTTGAACTTCCTGTTTTCTCTCGGGTCATTTCCTATCCCCGCGCTGTACAGCCAGTTGCCATAGTTACTGCTCACGTCATGGTCCACCTGGAAGCAGAGAGATGAAACTGATTGATCTGATCAGACCGAAAACAATGACCTCAGGTTATAAAACTGTCCACTACTGGTCTCCTAGCTCCTAACCAGCCTGGTGTAGAACTGAAACCATTCAATAGGTATACCCACAGTCATATATTTATCTAAATAAAGCGTTATGATTTTAGTTCCACGTTTCCCTATCATAGGCTGGGTTGAGTTCCCACCACCTTGGATACACCTGTCCTATCCTGTGCCTAGAGTGGCTAGGGGTCAAGGGTAGGGGCTAGGGATCAGGGGTAGGGGCTAGGGGTCAAGGGTAGGGGCTAGGGGTCAAGGGTAGGGGCTAGGGGTCAAGGGTAGGGGCTAGGGGTCAAGGGTAGGGACTAGGGGTCAAGGGTAGGGGCTAGGGGTCAAGGGTAGGGGCTAGGGGTCAAGGGTAGGGGCTAGGGGTCAAGGGTAGGGGCTAGGGGTCAAGGGTAGGGACTAGGGGTCAAGGGTAGGGGCTAGGGATCAGGGGTAGGGGCTAGGGATCAGGGGCTAGGGGTTGATTTAGGTTTGGGCCCCAGCCTCACCAGTAAATAGTGGAACCACTCTGCCCCATCCTCCAGTCCAGCCCTAGGTCCTAACCCTGACCCGGTCCTAACCCTGACCTAGGTCCTAACCCTGACCCGGTCCTAACCCTGACCTAGGTCCTAACCCTGACCCAGGTCCTAACCCTGACCCAGGTCCTAACCCTGACCCGGTCCTAACCCTGACCCCGGTCCTAACCCTGACCCCGGTCCTAACCCTGACCCAGGTCCTAACCCTGACCCCGGTCCTAACCCTGACCCCGGTCCTAACCCTGACCCCGGTCCTAACCCTGACCCCGGTCCTAACCCTGACCCAGGTCCTAACCCTGACCCAGGTCCTAACCCTGACCCCGGTCCTAACCCTGACCCCGGTCCTAACCCTGACCCGGTCCTAACCCTGACCCGGTCCTAACCCTGACCCCGGTCCTAACCCTGACCCGGTCCTAACCCTGACCCGGTCCTAACCCTGACCCAGGTCCTAACCCTGACCCGGTCCTAACCCTGACCCAGGTCCTAACCCTGACCCGGTCCTAACCCTGACCCAGGTCCTAACCCTGACCCAGACCAGGAGCCTCACCAACAGGTATTGGAACCACTCAGCCCCCATCCTCCAGTCCAGTCCCAGGTCCTTGGTGAGGAAGCTGGCTACGTTCTGGCGCCCCCTGTTAGACATGAACCCCGTCAGCGCCAGCTCTCGCATGTTGGCATCAACGAACGGCACCCCGGTACGACCCTCTAGAGTAACATGAGACAGAGGAGTTACAACAACCCAGTAGTATGAGAGATATTAGTTAGAATACTGTTACGGTATCCACTCCATCGTATATTTACCACCGTGCATCCAATAGACTTTCAGTTCTCTATACGTGCCTTATGCAGCTCTGTGTAGTCACCTCGTAGATCAGAGTGGTATTGTAAAGACTACAGATTTGTACTGATTTCTCCCTAACCTTTCCATGCATTGAACAGATTCATGTCCTTCTTCCAAGGGATGGACTTGTCCTGAAGGCCTGGTGAGAACATATAACAACCATGAGATTATGTGCAATAAGCTTTATATGAAGATAACATATGAAACTGGCTTTCCAACTTCACCTTTGATGTCAAACAGTCTGTCTCCGTATTTGGCTCCTACAAACTTGAAATAGTCTCTCCAGAGCAGCTCAAACACCACCCTGTTGGAAGACATGTACAGTCAGCCATGCTTAATAAAACCACATCACTTCTTCCATTCAATTCATCATTTATTCAGTTACCTGAACTAAGTACATTAAAAGGTGCATCTCCTACCCAGCCACCCTGCTAGCCTGGCTCATCACAGCTACACCACAGGAGATAAACATGGATTCAGTGACTGATCTCATCATGATCCTGATCACAACAGGATATGAGGTAGCAGGATGGAACTCACCAGTATGTGCTCTGATTGGCTGTTCGTTCACTCTCATATTTCTTGATCTGTTGGTAGATATACCTCGGGGAGATACAGCCTATAGCCAACCTGTAGAACACAGTTATAGATACAGTCTATAGCCAACCTGTAGAACACAGTTATAGATACAGTCTATAGCCAACCTGTAGAACACAGTTATAGATAGTCTATAGCCAACCTGTAGAACACAGTTATAGATACAGTCTATAGCCAACCTGTAGAACACAGTTATAGATAAAGTCTATAGCCAGTTATAGATACAGTCTATAGCCAACCTGTAGAACACAGTTATAGATACAGTCTATAGCCAACCTGTAGAACACAGTTATAGATACAGTCTATAGCCAGTTATAGATACAGTCTATAGCCAACCTGTAGAACACAGTTATAGATACAGTCTATAGCCAACCTGTAGAGCACAGTTATATATACAGTCTATAGCCAACCTGTAGAACACAGTTATAGATACAGTCTATAGCCAACCTGTAGAACACAGTTATAGATACAGTCTATAGCCAACCTGTAGAACACAGTTATAGATACAGTCTATAGCCAACCTGTAGAACACAGTTATAGATACAGCCTATAGCCAACCTGTAGAACACAGTTATAGATACAGCCTATAGCCAACCTGTAGAACACAGTTATATATACAGTCTATAGCCAACCTGTAGAACACAGTTATAGATACAGTCTATAGCCAACCTGTAGAACACAGTTATAGATATAGTCTATAGCCAACCTGTAGAACACAGTTATAGATACAGTCTATAGCCAACCTGTAGAACACAGTTATAGATACAGTCTATAGCCAACCTGTAGAACACAGTTATAGATACAGCCTATAGCCAACCTGTAGAACACAGTTATAGATACAGTCTATAGCCAGTTATAGATACAGCCTATAGCCAACCTGTAGAACACAGTTATAGATACAGTCTATAGCCAACCTGTAGAACACAGTTATAGATACAGTCTATAGCCAACCTGTAGAACACAGTTATAGATACAGTCTATAGCCAACCTGTAGAACACAGTTATAGATACAGTCTATAGCCAACCTGTAGAACACAGTTATAGATACAGTCTATAGCCAACCTGTAGAACACAGTTATATATACAGTCTATAGCCAACCTGTAGAACACAGTTATAGATACAGTCTATAGCCAGTTATAGATACAGTCTATAGCCAACCTGTAGAACACAGTTATAGATACAGTCTATAGCCAACCTGTAGAACACAGTTATAGATACAGTCTATAGCAAACCTGTAGAACACAGTTATAGATACAGTCTATAGCCAACCTGTAGAACACAGTTATATATACAGTCTATAGCCAACCTGTAGAACACAGTTATAGATACAGTCTATAGCCAACCAGTAGAACACAGTTATAGATACAGTCTATAGCCAACCTGTAGAACACAGTTATAGATACAGTCTATAGCCAACCTGTAGAACACAGTTATATATACAGTCTATAGCCAACCTGTAGAACACAGTTATAGATACAGTCTATAGCCAACCTGTAGAACACAGTTATAGATACAGTCTATAGCCAACCTGTAGAACACAGTTATAGATACAGTCTATAGCCAACCTGTAGAACACAGTTATAGATACAGTCTATAGCCAACCTGTAGAACACAGTTATATATACAGTCTATAGCCAGTTATAGATACAGTCTATAGCCAACCAGTCTATAGCCAACCAGTCTACAGCCAACCAGTCTACAGCCAACCAGTCTACAGCCAACCAGTCTATAGCCAACCAGTCTATAGCCAACCAGTCTACAGCCAACCAGTCTATAGCCAACCAGTCTACAGCCAACCAGTCTATAGCCAACCAGTCTATAGCCAACCAGTCTATAGCCAACCAGTCTATAGCCAACCAGTCTACAGCCAACCAGTCTACAGCCAACCAGTCTATAGCCAACCAGTCTATAGCCAACCAGTCTATAGCCAACCAGTCTACAGCCAACCAGTCTATAGCCAACCAGGGTTTTACCTGTAGGAGGTAAATAAGGTTATCAGTGTAGAGCAGGACATGAAGGTTCCCTTCCTAAAGACAGCTTAGGGACTGCCATTATACGGACTGCTAACTAACAGCTTAGGGACTGCCATTATACGGACTGCTAACTAACAGCTTAGGGACTGCCATTATACGGACTGCTAACTAACAGCTTAGGGACTGCCATTATACGGACTGCTAACTAACAGCTTAGGGACTGCCATTATACAGACTGCTATCTAACAGCTTAGGGACTGCCATTATACGGACTGCTATCTAACAGCTTAGGGACTGCCATTATACGGACTGCTAACTAACAGCTTAGGGACTGCCATTATACGGACTGCTATCTAACAGCTTAGGGACTGCCATTATACGGACTGCTATCTAACAGCTTAGGGACTGCCATTATACGGACTGCTACTCATAGCCGCGGAAAGTAGTTTGGGGGAGCGGGGGCTGCGATTATTTTGGGATGTAGATTTTTTTTTTTTGCCAGCGCTGAAGACATCTATATTGGTCTGCTAATACAGGACTAGTAAAGGCCCAGTGCACTACTTTTGTGAAAAAATAGTGTTAAAACTACATGTATTTGAGTGTTTACCAACATTTCTAACTTGAGTCTGATAATTATCTGTGCAAAACAGTTAATCTTCACTCTGCGGTCCAACTCATCCCAAACCATCTCAATTGGGTTGAGGTTGGGTGATTGTGGAGGCCAGGTCATCTGATGCAGCACCATCACTCTCCTTCTTGGTCAAATAGCCCTTACACAGCCTGGAGGTGTGTTGGGTCATTGTCCTGTTGAAAAACAAATAATAGTGGGACTAAGCCCAAACCAGATGGGATGGCGTATCGCTGCAGAATGTTGTGGTAGCCATGCTGGTTAAGTGTGCCTTGAATTCTAAATAAATCGCTGACAGTGTCACCAGCAAAGCACCCCCACAACGTCACACCTCCTCCTCCATGCTTCACGGTGGGAACCACACATGCGGAGATCATCCATTCACCTACTCTGTGTCTCACAATGACAAGGCGGTTGGAACCAAATATCTTACATTTGGACTCATCAGACCAAAGGACAGATTTCCACCGGTCTAATGTCCATTGCTCGTGTTTCTTGGCCCAAGCAAGTCTCTTCTTCTTATTGGTGGCCTTTAGTAGTGGTTTCTTTGCAGCAATTCGACCTTGAATGCCTGATTCACGCGGTCTCCTCTGAACAGTTGATGTTGAGATGTGTCTGTTACTTGAACTCTGTGAAGCATTTATTTGGGCTACAATCTGAGGTGCAGTTAACTCTAATGAACTTATCCTCTGCAGCAGAGGTAACTCTGGGTCTTCCTTTCCTGTGGCGGTCCTCATGAGAGCCAGTTTCATCACAGCGCTTGATGGTTTTTGCGACTGCACTTGAAGATACTTTCAAAGTTCTTGACATTTTCTGGATTGACTGACCTTCATGTCTTGAAGTAATGATGGACTGTTGTTTCTCTTTGTTTATTTGAGCTGTTCTTGCCATAATATGGACTTTGTCTTTTACCAAATAGGGCTATCTTCTGTATACCCCCCCTACATTGTCACAATACAACTGATTGGCTCAAACGCATTAAGAAGGAAATAGATTCCACAAATTACCTTTTAACAAGGCACACCTGTTAATTGAAATGCTTTCCAGGTGATTACCTCATGAAGCTGGTTGAGAGAATGCCACGATTGTGCAAAACTGCCATCAAGGCAAAGGGTGGCTATTTGAAGAATCTCAAATAATACTAGTAAAGGCCCAGCGCATTACGTTTGTGAAAGTATTCAGACCCCTTGACTTTTCGCACATTTTGTTACGTTACAGCCTTATTCTAAAATGGATTAAATAAATACAAATCCTCAGCAAATATACACACAATACCCCATAATGACATAACTCTGATGAGTCCAAATTAGAGATTTTTGGTTCCAACCGCATGTCTTTTGAGACGCTGAGTAGGTGAACGAATGATCTCCGCATGTGTGGTTCCCACCGTGAAGCATGGAGGAGGAGGTGTTATGGTGCTTTGCTGGTGACACTGTCTGTGATTTATTTAGAATTCAAGGCACACTTAACCAGCATGGCTACCACAGCATTCTGCAGAGATACGCCATCCCATCTGGTTTGGGCTTAGAGGGACTATCATTAGTTTTTCAACAGGACAATGACCCAAAACACACCTCCAGGCTGTGTAAGGGCTATTCGACCAAGAAGGAAAGTGATGGAGTGCTGCATCAGATGGCCTCCACAAATCACCTGACCTCAACCCAATTGAGATGGTTTGGGATGAGTTGGACCGCAGTGAAGGAAAAGCAGCCAACAAGTGCTCAGCATATGTGGGAACTCCTTCAAGACTGTTGGAAAAGCATTCCAGGTGAAGCTGGTTGAGAGAATGCCAAGAGTGTGCAAAGCTGTCATCAAGGCAAAGGGTGGCTTCTTTGAATAATCTAAAATATATTTTGATTTGATTTGTTTAACACTTTTTTTGGTTACAACATGATTCCATATGTGTTATTTCATAGTTTTGAAGTCTTCACTATTTATTCTACAATGTAGAAAATAGTAAAAATAAAGAAAAACCCTTGAATGAGTAGGTGTCCCCAAACTTTTGACTGCTACTAATATATATATATATATATATATATATATATATTAGTAGCAGTCAAAAGTTTGGGGACACCTACTCATTCAAGTCCGGGGGAAGGGGACTGCAGCACCCCCTGAAAAATCAGAATATATATATATATATATATATATATTCTGATTTTTCAGGGGGTGCTGCAGTCCCCTTCCCCCGGCCATGCAGGTACTTACCAAGGGGAAAACTTAGTGGAATAGTCCATTCCCATCAGGTACTTACCAAGGGGAAAACTTAGTGGAATAGTCCATTCCCATCAGGTACTTACCAAGGGGAAAACTTAGTGGAATAGTCCATTCCCATCAGGTACTTACCAAGGGGAAAACTTAGTGGAATAGTCCATTCCCATCAGGTACTTTACCAGGGGAAAACTTAGTGAATAGTCCATTTCCCATCAGGTACTTACCAAGGGGAAACTTAGTGGAACCAAGGGGAAAACTTAGTGAATAGTCCATTCCCATCAGGTACTTACCAAGGGGAAAACTTAGTGGAATATCCATTCACATCAGGTACTTACCAAGGGGAAAACTTAGTGGAATAGTCCATTCCCATCCAGGTACTACCAAGGGGAAAAACTTAGTGGAATAGTTCCATTCCATCAGGGTACTTACCAAGGGGAAACTTAGTGGAATAGTCCCATTCCCATGCAGGTACTTACCAAGGGGAAAACTTAGTGGAATAGTCCATTCCCATCAGGTACTTACCAAGGGGAAAACTTAGTGGAATAGTCCATTCCCATGCAGGTACTTACCAAGGGGAAAACTTAGTGGAATAGTCCATTCCCATGCAGGTACTTACCAAGGGGAAAACTTAGTGGAATAGTCCATTCCCATCAGGCCGTTACGAGTCTCCTTGTAGGTAGCCACAGCATCCTGCATGAGACACATACCAGCTTTATCACAACAAACACATATCCCATTTATTATCATTGGACCAAACTAAAGGTTTTCATGATGAATGTACCACTACTTTAACACGAGAAAGATGGGTACAACACTTTCACTCACAGGTGGCCAAAAATAACTAAGTGAAAGCCACGCCCCCCACTAAGGCACAACTATTTTTACCTTTATATTTAAAATATCGGGAACGAACATGTACCGCTGTACTAGTTTATCCGCACATAAAATAAAATAAAATGTTAGTGAACAGTACCATTAGAGGTTATTATATGCAGCTACCTCTGAAGGTATATGATGTGTATTTAGACTTTATGTACACCAGAGAACAATACTGGACCCTAAGCTACATTACTACAGAACAATACTGGACCCTAAGCTACATTATTACAGAACAATACTGGACCCTAAGCTACATTATTACAGAACAATACTGGACCCTAAGCTACTTATTACTGGACCCTAAGCTACATTATTACAGAACAATACTGGACCCTAAGCTACATTATTACAGAACAATACTGGACCCTAAGCTACATTATTACAGAAACAATACTGGGACCCTAAGCTACATTATTACAGAACAATACTGGAACCCTAAGCTACATTACTACAGAACAATACTGGACCCTAAGCTACATTATTAAAGAACAATACTGGACCCTAAGCTACATTATTACAGAACAATACTGGAACCCTAAAGCTACTTACCACAGAACAATACTGGACCCTAGCTACATTATTACAGAACAATACTGGACCCTAAGCTACATTATTACAGAACAATACTGGACCCTAAGCTACATTATTACAGAACAATAATGGACACTAAGCTACATTATTACATAACAATACTGGACCCTAAGCTACATTCCAGAACAATGACTGGACCCTAGCCTACATTATTACAACAATACTGGACCCTAAGCGACATTATTACAGAACAATACTGGACCCTAAGCGACATTATTACAGAACAATACTGGACCCTAAGCGACATTATTACAGAACAATACTGGACCCTAAGCGACATTATTACAGAACAATACTGGACCCTAAGCGACATTATTACAGAACAATATTGGACCCTAAGCGACATTACCACAGAACAATACTGGACCCTAAGCGACATTATTACAGAACAATACCTGGACCCTAAGCTAATTATTACAGAACAATACTGGACCCTAAGCTACATTATTACAGAACAATACTGGACCCTAAGCTACATTATTAAGAAGCATACTGGACCCTAAGCTACATTATTAAAGAACAATAATGGACCCTAAGCTACATTATACAGAACAATACTGGACCTAAGCTACATTATTACAGAACAATACTGGACCCTAAGCTACATTATTACAGAACAATACTGGACCCTAAGCTACATTATTACAGAACAATACTGGACCCTAAGCTACATTATTACAGAACAATACTGGACCCTAAGCTACATTATTACAGAACAATACTGGACCCTAAGCTACATTATTACAGAACAATACTGGACCCTAAGCTACATTATTACAGAACAATACTGGACCCTAAGCTACATTATTACAGAACAATACTGGACCCTATTACATTAGTTAAAGAACATACTGGACCCTAGCTACATTATTACAGAACAATACTGGACCCTAAGCTACATTATTACAGAACAATACTGGACCCTAAGCTACATTATTACAGAACAATACTGGACCCTAAGCTACATTATTACAGAACAATACTGGACCCTAAGCTACATTATTACAGAACAATACTGGACCCTAAGCTACATTATTACAGAACAATACTGGACCCTAAGCTACATTATTAAAGAACAATACTGGACCCTAAGCTACATTATTACAGAACAATACTGGACCCTAAGCTACATTATTACAGAACAATACTGGACCCTAAGCTACATTATTACAGAACAATACTGGACCCTAAGCTACATTATTAAAGAACAATACTGGACCCTAAGCTACATTATTACAGAACAATACTGGACCCTACGCTACATTATTAAAGAACAATACTGGACCCTAAGCTACATTATTACAGAACAATACTGGACCCTAAGCTACATTATTACAGAACAATACTGGACCCTAAGCTACATTATTACAGAACAATACTGGACCCTAAGCTACATTATTAAAGAACAATACTGGACCCTAAGCTACATTATTACAGAACAATACTGGACCCTAAGCTACATTATTACAGAACAATACTGGACCCTAAGCTACATTATTACAGAACAATACTGGACCCTAAGCTACATTATTACAGAACAATACTGGACCCTAAGCTACATTATTACAGAACAATACTGGACCCTAAGCTACATTATTAAAGAACAATACTGGACCCTAAACTACATTATTACAGAACAATACTGGACCCTAAGCTACATTATTAAAGAACAATACTGGACTCTAAGCTACATTACTACAGAACAATACTGGACCCTAAGCTACATTATTACAGAACAATGGACCCTACGCGAATTATTACAACAATACTGGACCCTAAGCTACATTATTAAAGAACAAGACTGGACCCTAAGCTACATTATTAAAGAACAATACTGGACCCTAAGCTACATTATTACAGAACAATACTGGACCCTAAGCTACATTATTACAGAACAATACTGGACCCTAAGCTACATTATTAAAGAACAATACTGGACCCTAAGCTACATTATTACAGAACAATACTGGACCCTAAGCTACATTATTACAGAACACTACTGGACCCTAAGCTACATTATTAAAGAACAATACTGGACCCTAAGCTACATTATTAAAGAACAATACTGGACCCTAAGCTACATTATTACAGAACAATACTAGACCCTAAGCTACATTATTAAAGAACAATACTGGACCCTAAGCTACATTATTACAGAACAATACTGGACCCTAAGCTACATTATTAAAGAACAATACTGGACCCTAAGCTACATTACTACAGAACAATACTGGACCCTAAGCTACATTATTAAAGAACAATACTGGACTCTAAGCTACATTATTACAGAACAATACTGGACCCTAAGCTACATTATTACAGAACAATACTGGACCCTAAGCTACATTATTACAGAACAATACTGGACCCTAAGCTACATTATTACAGAACAATACTGGACCCTAAGCTACATTATTAAAGAACAATACTGGACCCTAAGCTACATTATTACAGAACAATACTGGACCTTAACTGTACCCTTTTTTCTGAGAATGTAGCTGGTTTATTGAGGACATGTTTTTACTTGCTATGACAGATGTGGTTGTCTCACCTAGCTATCTAAGATGAATGCACTAACTGTAAGTTGTTCTGGATAAGAGCGTCTGCTACATGAATACAACGTACTCACCGTGTCCCAGAAGTAATGCTGTAGTCTGGCCAGGGCCTGAGTCTCTCCCCCGCTGTGGGGGAAGGCAGAGCGAGGTTCCCTAACAGTATCTGTCTGCTCCAGGTCTTCTGGGGAGGGGATGGGGCCTTCATCCAGACCTGACCCAGGGGGGAGAGGCTTCAGCTGGTCTAGGGTGGGCAAAACCGGCCTCACCCTGCCCTGGGTCTCCACTGCCTTCCTGAACTGGGTATATACGTCAGGCAACCTATCACAGGAGAGAATAGAACAGGGTTACATGTCAGGCAACCTATCACAGGAGAGAATAGAACAGGGTTACATGTCAGGCAACCTATCACAGGAGAGAATAGAACAGGGTTACATTTCAGGTAGCCTATCACAGGAGAGAATAGAACAGGGTTACATTTCAGGTAGCCTATCACAGGAGAGAATAGAACAGGGTTACATGTCAGGTAGCCTAAGCAAGGACGACGTCATATCTCTCCCTCAGCAAATGTCTCAGTAAAATATAGCCGTGGACAGTTATACCGCAAGACAGCTATTTAGTACACATGCAAATTGAAAAGCTGCATGACTTCATATTGTAGTGATTATCCAGGAGAGAGCCTGACTTCATAATGTAGTGATTATCCAGGAGAGAGCCTGACTTCATATTGTAGTGATTATCCAGGAGAGAGACTGACTTCATAATGTAGTGATTATCCAGGAGACAGCCTGACTTCATAATGTAGTGATTATCCAGGAGAGAGCCTGACTTCATATTGTAGTGATTATCCAGGAGACAGCCTGACTTCATATTGTAGTGATTATCCAGGAGACAGCCTGACTTCATAATGTAGTGATTATCCAGGAGAGAGCCTGACTTCATATTGTAGTGATTATCCAGGACAGAGGCTGACTTCATAATGTAGTGATTATCCAGGAGACAGCCTGACTTCATATTGTAGTGATTATCCAGGAGACAGCCTGACTTCATATTGTAGTGATTATCCAGGAGACAGCCTGACTTCATATTGTAGTGATTATCCAGGAGACAGCCTGACTTCATATTGTAGTGATTATCCAGGAGACAGCCTGACTTCATAATGTAGTGATTATCCAGGAGACAGCCTGACTTCATATTGTAGTGATTATCCAGGAGACAGCCTGACTTCATAATGTAGTGATTATCCAGGAGAGAGCCTGACTTCATATTGTAGTGATTATCCAGGAGACAGCCTGACTTCATATTGTAGTGATTATCCAGGAGACAGCCTGACTTCATAATGTAGTGATTATCCAGGAGAGAACCTGACTTCATATTGTAGTGATTATCCAGGACAGAGGCTGACTTCATAATGTAGTGATTATCCAGGAGACAGCCTGACTTCATATTGTAGTGATTATTCAGGAGAGAGCCTGACTTCATAATGTAGTGATTATCCAGGAGACAGCCTGACTTCATATTGTAGTGATTATCCAGGAGATAGCCTGACTTCATAATGTAGTGATTATCCAGGAGAGAGCCTGACTTCATATTGTAGTGATTATCCAGGAGACAGCCTGACTTCATAATGTAGTGATTATCCAGGAGACAGCCTGACTTCATAATGTAGTGATTATCCAGGAGACAGCCTGACTTCATAATGTAGTGATTATCCAGGAGACAGCCTGACTTCATATTGTAGTGATTATCCAGGACAGAGGCTGACTTCATAATGTAGTGATTATCCAGGAGACAGCCTGACTTCATAATGTAGTGATTATCCAGGATAACCTGACTTCATAATGTAGTGATTATCCAGGAGACAGCCTGACTTCATATTGTAGTGATTATCCAGGAGATAGAGCCTGACTTCATAATGTAGTGATTATCCAGGAGATAGAGCCTGACTTCATATTGTAGTGATTATCCAGGAGATAGAGCCTGACTTCATAATGTAGTGATTATCCAGGAGATAGAGCCTGACTTCATAATGTAGTGATTATCCAGGAGATAGAGCCTGACTTCATAATGTAGTGATTATCCAGGAGATAGAGCCTTTGCTGAGCAGCCCAATCGCAGATGACTACTTTCTCTGCCACGTGAATAAAATCAAATGAACTTGATCTTGACCCCTGTGGTCTTCTCTCACCTGGATAGGTGGTTGAACGGGAGGTCGTCTCGGTGGTACAGTGTCGACCCCCAGCAGGTGTGAACTTTAACCTTCATCTGAGAACAGATGTCCCTCACTCCTCTCTCCACCTGCTGGTCCTCTGGCACCACCTACAGGATGGATAACAAAACACAATACATTGAAGCGAGCACATGGATGTGGCCGGAAGGTGTGTGTTGTTATGATTCTGAGTGGTCAGATAGCTACCAAACTGCCTTCTGGGGAATCATAAGTTATTTGTTTCAGCTCGTTTCATCTTGTTTTGAGGTGTTTTGACTGATGTCTATGCTAATATGGCTCAAATTAGCTAGCTAGCTAACCAACAACCTTAACGATGCATGAGAGACACGTGATCATTGTGTAAATGTGTTTATGTTTTCAATAAACATTGGAGATTCAACTTAGTTCAACAATCTAAGCCAACCCAGTCTGTTTTGCCCCATAGTTACGCACACGTCGGATTTGTTGCTAAACAATCAACCCATCTATAAGTCTATACTACTTCATTTTATTTAACCAGGTTAGTCTCATTGCGATAAAAATCAATTTTTCAAGGAGAGACCTGGACTACTAAAATGGAGAGATATAGCTTTGGATGATCGTGATGGAGAGATATAGAATGAGAGTGCTGAGAGATATAGCTATAGGATGATAGAGTGATGGAGAGAAAGAGTGATGAGATATACACTCCGTGGCCAGTTTATTAGGTACACCACATGGGGACAAAGATCGCACTTTTTGGAGAAATGTCCTCTGGTCTGATGAAACAAAAATATAACTGTTTGGCCATAATGACCATCGTTATGTTTGGAGGAAAAATGGGGTTGCTTGCAAGCTGAAGAACACCATCCCAACCGTGAAGCACGGGGGTGGTAGCATCATGCTGTGGGGGTGCTTTGCTGCAGGAGGGACTGGTGCACTTCACAAAATAGATGGCATCATGAGGAAGGAAAATGATGTGGATATATTGAAGAACATCTCAAGACATCAGTCAGGAAGTTAAAGCTTGGTCGCAAATGGGTCTTCCAAATGGATAATGACCCCAAGCATACTTCCAAAGTTGTGGCAAAATGTCTACATGACAAATAATAGTATGGAATGGGTCACAAGGTGAGACTTGATATATGAGAAAGCAGTATCCCCCAGCCAGATAGCATTTGCTATGAACACTGTTCTTATTGTACAGAAACCAGAGTTTGGCCCCTAAGACAAGCTTCCTCTCATCATTATCCATACCCGAACCATCTCTCCCTGGTACCTCACATTACACAAACACCAATTCAGTCTATAAACTGCAGGCTCAGTCAGACCGGATCCATCTTCCTCACATGAATGGAATATGGCCTGTTAGTTTTATCACCAAAGGCATCGTTAATCTACTGCCAGTGTTAACACAGACAGATGAGAGTTTCTAAGAACCCTGTTCTATTACAGAAAACAACCATTTGATGCAATAACAGTATTATAACATCATCTAGTTATTTTTGCTCTCACAAACCACCAACACTCTTTCTAGAGCTGGCCGCCTGGCCAAACTGAGCAATCAGGGGAGAAGGGCCTTGGTCAGGGAGGTGACCAAGACAGAGCTCCAGAGTTCCTCTGTGAAGATGGGAGAACCTTCCAGAAGGAAAACCATCTCTGCAGTACTCCACCAATCAGGCCTTTATGGTAGAGTGGCCAGACGGAAGCCACTCCTCAGTAAAAGGCACATGACAGCCCGCTTGAAGTTTACCAAAAGGCACCTAAAAGACTCTCAGACCATGAGAAACAAGATTCGCTGGTCTGATGAAACCAATATTGAACTCTTTGGCTTGAATGCCAAGCGTCACGTCTGGAGGAAACCTGGCACCATCCCTACGGTGAAGCATGGTGGTGGCAGCATCATGCTGTGGGGATTTAGTTGTGGTCCTCTGTAGCTCAGCTGGTAGAGCACGGCGCTTGTAACGCCAAGGTAGTGGGCTCGATCCCCGGGACCACACAAAAATGTATGCACGCATGACTGTAAGTCGCTTTGGATAAAAGCGTCTGCTAAATGGCATATTATTATATTATTATTATTATTATATTTATTTCAGTGGCAGGGACTGGGAGACTAGTCCGTATCGAGGGAAAGATGAATGGAGCAAAGTACAGAGAGATCCTTGATGAAAACCTCATCAAGTGCACACAGCCAAGACAACGCAGGAGTGGCTTCGGGACAAGTCTCTGAATGTCCTTGAGTGGCCCAGCCAGAGCCTGAACCCAATCGAACATCTCTGGAGAGACCTGAAAATAGCTGTGCAGCGATGCTCCCCATCCAACCTGACAGAGCTTGAGAGGATCTGCAGAGAAGAATGGGAGAAACTCCCCAAATACAGGTGTGCCAAGCTTGTAGCGTCATACCCTAGAATACGCGAGGCTGTAATCGCTGCCAAAGGTGCCTCAACAAAGTACTGAGTAAAGGGTCTGAATACTTATGTAAATGTCTATTTCCTGGGGGGGGTTTTATTATAAAATTTGCAAAACTTTCTAAAAACCTGTTTTTTGCTTTGTCATTACAGGGTATTGTGTGTAGATTGATAAAGGGGGGGAAAACAATTTAATCAATTTTAGAATAAGGCTGTAACGTAACAAAACGTGGAAAAAGTCAAGGGGTCTGAATACTTTCCAAATGCATGAAAGTTTACAATCTAAGGTAACACCAAGTAATTTAGTCTCCCCAACTTATTCAACAGCCACACCATTCATTACCAGATTCAGCTGAGGTCTAGAACTTAGGGAATGATTTGTTTCAAATACAATGCTCTTAGTTTTAGAGATGATCAGGACCAGTTTATTACTGGCTACCCATTCCAAAACAGACTGCAACTCTTTGTTAAGGGTTTCAGTGACTTCATTAGCTGTGGTTGCTGACGCATGTATGGTTGAATCATCAGCATTTTTACCAATGCCAGTGGCAGGTCATTGGTAAAAATAGAAAAGAGTGGAGGGCCTAGAGAGCTATCCTGCGGTACACCACACTTTACATGTTTGACATTAGAGTAGCTTCCACTAAAGAAAACCCTCTGAGTTCTATTAGATAGATTGCCATATTGTGGATTCAGAGCTGAGGTTGAAAAGCCATAAATCATACGTTTTCTCAACAACAGGTTATGGTCAATAATATCAAAGGCTGCACTGAAATCTAACAGTACAGCTCCCACGATCTTCTTATTATCAATTTATTTTAACCAATCATTAGTCATTTGTGTCAGTGCAATACATGTTGAGTGCCCTTCTCTATAAGCATGCTGAAAGTATGTTGTTAATTTGTTTACAGAGAAATAGCATTGTATTTGGTCAAACACCATTTTTTCCTCCAGCATCTTCCAGCTTATAGGTCTGCTGTTAGAACCAGTAAAGACCGCTTTACCACTCTTCGAGTATCTAGTTTGAGAAACAGACGCCTCACAGGTCCTCAACTGGCAGCTTCATTAAATAGTACCGCAAAACACCAGTCTCAACATCAACAGTGAAGAGGCGACTCCGGGATACTGACCTTCTAGGCAGAATTGCAAAGAAAAAGCCATATCTCAGACTGGCCAATAAAAATAAAAGATTAAGATGGGCAAAATAACACAGACACTGGACTTTTTCCTTTGCAACTCTGCCTAGGTCAGCATCCCGGAGTCGCCTCTTCACTGTTGACGTTGAGACTGGTGTTTTGCGGGTACTATTTCATGAAGCTGCCAGTTGAGGACCTGTGAGGCGTCTTTCTCAAACTAGACACTAATGTATTTGTCCTCTTGCTCAGTTGTGCACCGGGGCCTCCCACTCCTCTTTCTATTCTAATTAGAGCCAGTTTGCGCTGTTCTATGAAGGGAGTAGTACACAGGGTTGTACGAGATCTTCAGTTTCTTGGCAATTTCTCGCATGGAATAGCCTTCATTTCTCAGAACAAGAATAGACTGTTTCTTGTTTCAGAAGAAGGTTATTTGTTTCTGGCCATTTTGACCTTGTAATCGAAGACACAATTGCTGATGCTCCAGATACTCAACTAGTCTCAAGAAGGCCAGTTTTATTGCTTCTTTAAATCAGCACAACAGTTTTCAGCTGTGCTAACATAATTGCAAAAGGGTTTTCTAATGATCAATTAGCCTTTTAAAATGATACACTTGGATTAGCAAACACAACGTGCCATTGGATAATGGGCCTCTGTATGCCTATGTAGATATTCCATTAAAAATCAGCTGTTTCCAGCTACAATAGACATTTACAACATTAACAATGTCTACACTGTATTTCCGATCAATTTGATGTTATTTTAAATGGACCAAAAATTTGATTTTCTTTCGAAAACAAGGAAATTTCTAAGTGACCCCAAACTTTTCAACGGTAGTGTACAGTATCTATAGTGGTGAGTAAGATACATATAGATAGCTATTATATTGCTATAGCGTGATAAATAAGAGCGTTAATAGGTACAGTATCTATAGTGGTGGGAAAGATACATATTGATAGCCATTATATTGCTATAGCGTGATACATAAGAGCGTTAATATGTAGTGTACTAGATTACTAACCTCTTCATGGAAGGCCACAGCGCTAACAGAACCTAGCTGCTTAATGAGGTCACTAACCACCTCCTCTGGCCTGCCCCGTCTCACCACCAGGGTGCTGGAAGAACACACACACAAACACACAAACACAGTGGCCCCAGTTAACACTGTCTGAGAGCATCAAGCTGCATCCTGGGTAGTGGATTAATCATTTCCCTCTCTCACTGAATAGTGGAAACAGAACAGAATGTGATGACGGCTCCGTTAATGTAAACATTAATGTATAGCGCTTTTCAAAGAAACAAAAACAAGAGGAAGGAGAAATGAAAAAAAGATAGCTAATTGAAATCATACATTAAAATAATCTATATAAAAATGTGTCTTCAACAGGGATATCAAAAGAGGCACTGAATCAGCAAGCCTGATCTCTGGAAGACCGCTACAAGAAACCCTGTTAGTAATAATAACACTGGCTGGTTCTATGTAACACTATATAATAACTGACTGACCTCAAAGTAATGGTGTGGTAGGGTATGGTACAGTTATGTTGCGGTATGTTATCAATATGGTGTGGTACGTTATGCTAAGGTATGGTGTTGTATGGTACATTATGGTTATGGTGTGGTATGGTACGGTTATGGAATGGTACGTTATAGTATAGTTATGGTACGCTATGGTATGGTTATAGTATGGTACGTTATGGTATGGTACGTTATGGTATGGTTATAGTGTGGTACGTTATGGTATGGTTATAGTGTGGTACATTATGGTATGGTTATAGTGTGGTACATTATGGTATGGTTATAGTGTGGTACATTATGGTATGTTATAGTGTGGTACGTTATGGTATGTTATAGTGTGGTACGTTATGGTATGTTATAGTGTGGTACGTTATGGTATGGTTATAGTGTGGTACGTTATGGTATTGTTATAGTGTGGTACGTTATGGTATGGTTATAGTGTGGTACGTTATGGTATGGTACGTTATAGTGTGGTACGTTATGGTATGTTATAGTGTGGTACGTTATGGTATGTTATAGTGTGGTACGTTATGGTATGGTTATAGTGTGGTACGTTATGGTATGGTTATAGTGTGGTACTTTATGGTATGGTTCGTTATGGTATGTTATAGTGTGGTACGTTATGGTATGTTATAGTGTGGTATGTTATGGTATGTTATAGTGTGGTACGTTATGGTATGGTTATAGTGTGGTACGTTATGGTATGGTTATAGTGTGGTACGTTATGGTATGGTTATAGTGTGGTACGTTATGGTATGGTTATAGTGTGGTACGTTATGGTATGTTATAGTGTGGTACATTATGGTATGGTTAGATACGTTTTGGTATGGTTATAGTGTGGTACGTTATGGTATGGTTATAGTGTGGTACTTTATGGTATGGTTATAGTGTGGTACGTTATGGTATGTTATAGTGTGGTACGTTATGGTATGTTATAGTGTGGTACGTTATGGTATGGTTATAGTGTGGTACATTATGGTATGTTATAGTGTGGTACGTTATGGTATGGTTATAGTGTGGTACGTTATGGTATGGTTATAGTGTGGTACGTTATGGTATGGTTATAGTGTGGTACGTTATGGTATGTTATAGTGTGGTACATTATGGTATGGTTAGATACGTTTTGGTATGGTTATAGTGTGGTACGTTATGGTATGGTTATAGTGTGGTACGTTATGGTATGTTATAGTGTGGTACATTATGGTATGTTATAGTGTGGTACATTATGGTATGTTATAGTGTGGTACATTATGGTATGGTTATAGTGTGGTACGTTATGGTATGGTTATAGTGTGGTACGTTATGGTATGGTTATAGTGTGGTACGTTATGTATGGTACGTTATGGTATGGTTATAGTGTGGTACGTTATGGTATGTTATAGTGTGGTACGTTATGGTATGTTATAGTGTGGTACATTATGGTATGGTTAGATACGTTATGGTATGGTTATAGTGTGGTACGTTATGGTATGGTTATAGTGTGGTACGTTATGGTATGGTTATAGTGTGGTACGTTATGGTATGGTTATAGTGTGGTACGTTATGGAATGTTATAGTGTGGTACGTTATGGTATGTTATAGTGTGGTACATTATGGTATGTTATAGTGTGGTACATTATGGTATGGTTATAGTGTGGTACGTTATGGTATGTTATAGTGTGGTACATTATGGTATGTTATAGTGTGGTACGTTATGGTATGTTATAGTGTGGTACATTATGGTATGTTATAGTGTGGTATGTTATGGTATGTTATAGTGTGGTACATTATGGTATGTTATAGTGTGGTACGTTATGGTATGTTATAGTGTGATACGTTATGGTATGGTTATAGTGTGGTACGTTATGGTATGTTATTAGTGTGGACGTTATGGTATGGTATAGTGTGGTACGTTATGGTATGGTTATAGTGTTGGTACGTTATGGTTGGTTATAGTGTGGGTACGTTATGGTATGGTTATAGTGGTGGTAGTTATGGTATGGTTATGTGGTATGTTTGGTACGTTATGGTATGGTTAGGATACTTTGTGTGTGGTATGGGTGTATGTATGGTTATGGTGTGTATGGTACGGTATGGATTCTTGTGGGTACGGTTATGGTGTGGTATGGTGGTATTGGTGTGATGTTGTGTGTGGTACGTTATGGTATGGTTAGGTGTGGTTATGGTACGGTTATAGGTGTGGTACGTTATGGTATGGTTATGGTGTGTTGGTACGTTATGGTGTGGTTATGGTGTGTAGTTGGTTCGGTTATGGTGTGTGGTACAGTATGGATGTGGTTAGGTTAGTGTGGTTATGGTGTGTTATGGTGGTGATAGTTGGTACGGTTTAGTTGTGGTACTTATGGTGTGTTAAGTTGGTACGGTTATGGTATGGTTATGGTGGTGATATGGTACGGTTATATGGTGTTATGGTGGTTATGTGTGGTACGTATGGTATGGTTATAGTGTGGTAGTTATGGTATGTTATATGTGGTACGTTATGGTTGGTTATAGGTGGTACGTTATGGTATGGTTATAGTGTGGTACGTTATGGTATGTAAGTGTGGTACTATGGTATGTTAAGTGTGGATATGGGTTAGGTCGTTATGGTGATGGTTTGGTGGTCTGATGTTGTTTAGTGGTGTCGTTTGTGGTATGGGCGTGGTGCGTGGATAGTGTGGTACGTTTTGGTTTGTGTGGTACGTTTGGTTGGTTAGTGGTGTTATGGTATGGTTATAGTGTGGTACGTTATGGTAGTTTTAGTGTGGTACGGTATGGTTATATGTGGTACGGTATGGTATGGTTTAGTGGTACGTTTGGTTAGGTATGTGTGGTACGTTATGGTATGGTTATAGTGTGGGTACGTTATGGGTATGGTTTGTGTGGTACGTTATGGTATGGTTATAGTGTGGTACGTTTATGGTATGTTATAGGTGGTACTTATGGTATGGTTTAGTGTGGACGTATGGTATGTTTATAGGTGGTACGTTATGGTATGTTATAGTGTGGTACGTTATGGTATGGGTTATAGTGTGGTACGTTTATGGTTTAGTGTGGTACGTTATGGTATGTTTAAGTGTGGTACGTTATGGTATGGTTAGTGTGGTACTTTGGGTGTTATAGTGTGGTACGTTAGGTATGGTTATAGTGTGGTAGTTATGGTATGTTATAGTGTGGTACTTATGGTATGGTTATAGTGTGGTCGTTATGGTATGGGTTATAGTGTGGTACATATGGTATGGTTTAGTGTGGTAGTATGGTATGGTTATAGTGTGGTGGGTATTGATGGTTGTAGTGTGGTACTTATGGTATGGTGGGTGTATGGTAGGTTATGTGTGAAGTACGTTATGGTATGGTATAGTGGGTACGTTATGGTAGGTGTTATAGTGTGGTACTATGGATGGTATAGGTGGTACGTTTTATGGTAGGTTAGTGTGGTACGTTATGGTATGGTTATAGTGGGTAGTTAGGTAGTATGGTTAGTAGTGGTACGTTATGGTATGGTATGTGTGGTGACGTTATGGTTATGGTGGGTTATGGTAGTTTAGTGTGGTACTTATGGTGTATGGTGGGGTATGGTATGGTGTATAGTGTGGTTATGTGTGGTTAGTGGGTACGTTATGGGTGGTTATGGTGGGTTATGGTTGTTGGTGGTTGGTTTGTGGTGACTGGTATGGTTGTGTGTGGTAGTTATGGTGGTGGTTGGTACGTTATGGTATGTATGGTGTGGTCGTTTGGTTGGTTTGTGGTACGTTGGTTGGTTTGTGTGGTACGTTTGGTTGGTTTATGTGTGGTACGTTATGGTTATGGTTATAGTGTGGTACGTTATGGTTGGTATGGTGGTCGTTATGGTATGGTTTAGTGTGGTACGTTATGGTAGTAGTGTGGTAGTTATGTATGGTTTGTGTGGTATATGGTGGTTCTAGTGTGGTACGTGTATGGTATGGTGTAGTACGTTTGGTATTATGGTTGGTTACGTTATGGTATGGTTATAGTGTGGACTATTAGTGGTATGGTTATAGTGTGTCTTATGGTGTTATAGTGTGGACATTATGGTATGGTTATATGGTTGTATGTTATGGGTATGGTTATGTTGTGGTATACAGTTATGGTGGTTATAGTGTGGTACGTTATGGTATGGTTATAGTGTGGGTCTTTATGATGGTTATTAGGTGTGGTAGTGGTGGTTATGTGTGTGATACGGTATGATGTTATGTGTGGACATTATGGTATGGTTTATGTGTAGGTATTATGGTATGGTTATAGTGTGGTACGGTTATGGTATGGTTATTGTGGTAGGTTATGTATGGTTATAGTGTGGTACGTTATGGTATGGTTATGGTAGGGTGTGTACTTATGGTAGTTATAGTGGGTCATTATGTATGTTATAGTGTTACATTGTATGGTATGGTATAGTGTGGTACGTTATGGTTATGGTTATATGGTAGGTTAGTCTAGGTATGGTTATAGTGTGGTATTATGGTATGTTATAGTGGTGTGTGGTTATGGTATGGTTATAGTGTGGTACGTTTGGTTGTGTGATAGTGTACGGTTATGGGGGTTAGGTTGGTATGTGTGGTACGTTATGGTGTTATGGTTTACGTGTGGTATGGTTATGTGTGGTCGTATGGTATGGTATAGTGTGGTCGTTATGGTATGTATGTGTGGTATTATGGTTGTTATAGTGTGGTAAGTTATGGTATGGTTGGTACGTTATGGTATGTGGTTATGTGTGTACGTTTATGGTATGGTTATATGTGTGGTACGTTATGGTATGGTTATTAGTGTGGTACGTTATGGTAGTGTATAGTGATTTATGGGTGATAGTTGTGGTACGTTATGGTAGGTTATAGGTGGTACATTATGGTATGTTAGTGTGGTACGGTATGGTATGGTTATGGTATGGTTATGGTGTGATATGGTACGGTTATGGTGTGGTTATGGTGTGGTTATGGTGTGGTATGGTACGGTTATGGTGTGGTTATGGTGTGATATGGTACGGTTATGGTATGGTTATGGTATGGTTATGGTGTGGTTATGGTGGGGTTACGGCGTGGTTATGGTACAGTATGGTTATGGTGTGGTTATGGTATGGTTATGGTGTGATATGGTACGGTTATGGTGTGGTTATGGTGTGGTTATGGTGTGGTATGGTACGGTTATGGTGTGGTTATGGTGTGGTTATGGTACGGTTATGGTATGGTTATGGTATGGTTATGGTGGGGTTATGGTGGGGTTATGGCGGGGTTATGGTACAGTATGGTTATGGTGTGGTTATGGTATGGTTATGGTATGGTGTGGTTATGGTGGGGTTATGGCGTGGTTATGGTACAGTATGGTTATGGTGTGGTTATGGTGTGGTTATGGTATGGTTATGGTGTGATATGGTATGGTTATGGTGTGGTTATGGTATACAACATGTGTATGGCTAGAGCAGCTCCTCTCACCTGCCCCTCTGTATCAGACTGGTCCTGAGGTCCTGGATGCTGTCCAGAAGGAAGCGCAGACGGAAGGGGCCGGTACGGGGCAGGTTGTAGTTCGCTGTCCCTAGGTAATGACCAGGGTCGAAACAGTACAGGGGAACGATGTGTTCAGCATTCCTCTGGGCCCAGTGAAACACCTGGATAACACAGGGGTTACCATAGAGTAGAGGGAGAAATGTAGAGGAGTGTGATTGGGCTGGCAAGAGAACAAATACAGTGCCTTGCAAAAGTATTCATCCCCCTTGGCATTTTTCCTATTTTGTTGCATTACAACCTGTAATTTAAATTGATTTTTATTTGGATTTCATGTAATGGACACAAAATAGTCCAAATTGGTGAAGTGAAATGAAAAAAATTACTTGTTAAAAATAAATCTAGAAATTAATCACAGAAAAGTGGTGCGTGCATATGTATTCACCCCCTTTGCTATGATGCCCCTAAATAAGATCTGGTGCAACCAATTACCTTCAGAAGTCACATAATTAGTTAAATAAAGTCCACCTGTGTGCAATCTAAGTGTCACATGATCTGTCACATGATCTCAGTATATACTTATGGCATGCAATAAAATGCAAATGAATTACTTAAAAATCATACAATGTGATTTTCTGGATTTTTGTTTTAGATTCCGTCTCTCACAGTTGAAGTGTACCTATGATAAAAATTACAGACCTCTACATGCTTTGTAAGTAGGAAAACCTGCAAAATCGGCAGTGTATCAAATACTTGTTCTCCCCACTGTATGTGGTATTGGAGTAAGGGCCTGAGGGCACACACTTAATATGTTGTGAAATCTGTTATGAATGTATTATAATGTTTTTAAAATGTATAACTGCCTTAATTTTGCTAGACCCCAGGAAGAGTAGCTGCTGCCTTGGCAGGAACTACTGGGGATCCATAATAAACCCCAGGAAGAGTAGCTGCTGCCTTGGCAGGAACTAATGGGGAGCCATAATAAACCCCAGGAAGAGTAGCTGCTGCCTTGGCAGGAACTAATGGGGATCCATAATAAACCCCAGGAAGAGTAGCTGCTGCCTTGGCAGGAACTAATGGGATCCATAATAAACCCCAGGAAGAGTAGCTGCTGCCTTGGCAGGAACTAATGGGGATCCATAATAAACCCCAGGAAGAGTAGCTGCTGCCTTGGCAGGAACTAATGGTGATCCATAATAAACCCCAGGAAGAGTAGCTGCTGCCTTGGCAGGAACTAATGGGGATCCATAATAAACCCCAGGAAGAGTAGCTGCTGCCTTGGCAGGAACTAATGGGGATCCATAATAAACCCCAGGAAGAGTAGCTGCTGCCTTGGCAGGAACTAATGGGGATCCATAATAAACCCCAGGAAGAGTAGCTGCTGCCTTGGCAGGAACTAATGGGGATCCATAATAAACCCCAGGAAGAGTAGCTGCTGCCTTGGCAGGAACTAATGGAGATCCATAATAAACCCCAGGAAGAGTAGCTGCTGCCTTGGCAGGAACTAATGGGGATCCATAATAAACCCCAGGAAGAGTAGCTGCTGCCTTGGCAGGAACTAATGGGGATCCATAATAAACCCCAGGAAGAGTAGCTGCTGCCTTGGCAGGAAACTAATGGAGATCCATAATAAACCCCAGGAAGAGTAGCTGCTGCCTTGGCAGGAACTAATGGGGATCCATAATAAACCCCAGGAAGAGTAGCTGCTGCCTTGGCAGGAACTAATGGGGATCCATAATAAACCCCAGGAAGAGTAGCTGCTGCCTTGGCAGGAACTAATGGGGATCCATAATAAACCCCAGGAAGAGTAGCTGCTGCCTTGGCAGGAACTAATGGGGATCCATAATAAACCACAGGAAGAGTATCTGCTGCCTTGGCAGGAACTAATGGGGATCCATAATAAACCCCAGGAAGAGTAGCCATAATAAATACAAATACCTTTCAGCAGGACAATAACTTAAAACACAAGACCAAATCTACACTGGAGTTGCTTACCAAGAAGACAGTGAATGTTGAGTGGCCAAGTTAGTTTTGACTTAAATCTGCTTGAGAATATATGGCAAGACCTGAAAATGTCTGTCTAGCAATGATCAACAACCAATACTTATCTAATCAAGATATATTTGTGTTTTATTTTTCATGAATGTTTTACAAATATTCTAATTTTTCTTCTTGACAAGCAGCGGCCACGGCGTGGGAAGTAGCTACCTAGAATAGTGCCCTTCACTCCCGCTTGACAAGCAGCGGCAACGGCGTGGGAAGTAGCTACCTAGAATAGTGCCCTTCACTCCCGCTTGACAAGCAGCGGCCACGGCGTGGGAAGTAGCTACCTAGAATAGTGCCCTTCACTCCCGCTTGACAAGCAGCGGCCACGGCGTGGGAAGTAGCTACCTAGAATAGTGCCCTTCACTCCCGCTTGACAAGCAGCGGCAACGGCGTGGGAAGTAGCTACCTAGAATAGTGCCCTTCACTCCCGCTTGACAAGCAGCGGCCACGGCGTGGGAAGTAGCTACCTAGAATAGTGCCCTTCACTCCCGCTTGACAAGCAGCGGCCACAGCGTGGGAAGTAGCTACCTAGAATAGTGCCCTTCAGTCCCGCTTGACAAGCAGCGGCCACGGCGTGGCAAGTAGCTACCTAGAATAGTGCCCTTCACTCCCGCTTGACAAGCAGCGGCCACGGCGTGGGAAGTAGCTACCTAGAATAGTGCCCTTCACTCCCGCTTGACAAGCAGCGGCAACGGCGTGGGAAGTAGCTACCTAGAATAGTGCCCTTCACTCCCGCTTGACAAGCAGCGGGCACGGCGTGGGAAGTAGCTACCTAGAATAGTGCCCTTCACTCCGCTTGACAAGCAGCGGCCACGGCGTGGGAAGTAGCTACCTAGAATAGTGCCCTTCACTCCCGCTTGACATGCAGCGGCCACGGCGTGGGAAGTAGCTACCTAGAAAAGTGCCCTTCACTCCCGCTTGACAAGCAGCGGCCACGGCGTGGGAAGTAGCTACCTAGAAAAGTGCCCTTCACTCCCGCTTGACAAGCAGCGGCCACGGCGTGGGAAGTAGCTACCTAGAATAGTGCCCTTCACTCCCGCTTGACAAGCAGCGGCCACGGCGTGGGAAGTAGCTACCTAGAATAGTGCCCTTCACTCCCGCTTGACATGCAGCGGCCACGGCGTGGGAAGTAGCTACCTAGAATAGTGCCCTTCACTCCCGCTTGACAAGCAGCGGCCACGGCGTGGGAAGTAGCTACCTAGTAGTCAATATCAGGGTGACAGTCACAGCACACACATACAACGCATGAAGCCCATCATCAATACTTTTAATCAAAAATAAACAATAGGAATTTTTGTAACTGAAAATGTATAATTATAGGGTTCCGTTTTAGAAGCATGGTTTCGACTGCTCCTAAAAAGTTTTGTAATAATAATAATAATAATTATAATAATAATATGCCATTTAGCAGACGCTTTTATCCAAAGCGACTTACAGTCATGTGTGCATACATTTTTACATATGGGTGTTCCCGGGGATCGAACCCACTATCCTGGCGTTACAAGCGCCAATTGAGCTCCTCCACCTTTACTGAATTGGTTGAAGAGTGCAGAAGAGAACCTCCCCGAGAGCAAAGCATTTTTCTTCTTCCAAGACCAGTGTGTAGGGGATCTAGTTTCAGGCGTTTATTTTACGCCTGCTATGTTTGGTTAGGCCGGAGTAAGCAGTTTGGGGGCCGGAGTAGGCAGTTTGGGGGCCGGAGTAGGCAGTTTGGGGGCCGGAGTAGGCAGTTTGGGGGGCCGGAGTAGGCAGTTTGGGGGCCGGAGTAGGCAGTTTGGGGGCCGGAGTAGGCAGTTTGGGTAGCAAGGCGACTATTTCTAGCCCAAGTTTCACCCCGAGTATGACAATTCGTCTGCGCCCGCGAAATCGTGTAGTGTATGCCCGGCATTACGTTTGTTTGCGGACCGCCATTATGCCACACAATAATATTTTTGACGTTTTTTCTTTGTTTATTGGTGTCGGATGAGAATAAATAAAATGATCAGAGAATGCACGATAAAACCAAAGACACTTTACATTAGTGAAGATAAAGTGCAACATTGTATCACGTGGAACATGGCGAAGTCAGTGCTACACATTTTGGAATAATTTTGTTCCAAGACTACTAGACACATTTCTCATCCAATGTAGAATCATCTTACCTCATTGTCGTGAAGACGCAAGTCATTTCTCAGCAAACATATGACTGTCCGTGAGGTAGACATATTCTACAGCTAAACACGTTTGCGATAGTAGATTAGTTGATGCACGACTCTCCGGACGTGGTTATGTAGCCGCTTGCAAACACAGCTGGGCTGACTTGTGTGAAGCTAGCCACAATAACGATTAGCCACAATAGCGGAATGTGTGGTGTGGCTTCAAAATAAAAGTTGCCCATTCAAACTGACCCAACCGAATACAAATAGTGGAATAATGCCATATTTGCACTACAGTCGTGGTCAAAAGTTTAGAGAATGACACAAATACTAATTTTCACAAAGTCCTCAGTTTTGTTGATGGCAATTTGCATATACTCCAGAATGTCATGAAGAGTGATCAGATGAATTGCAATTAATTGCAAAGTCCCTCTTTGTCATGAAAATGAACTTAATCCCCAAAAAACATTTCCACTGCATTTCAGCCCTGCCACAAAAGGACCAGCTGCCATCATGTCAGTGATTCTCTCGTTAACACAGGTGAGAGTGTTGACGAGGACAAGGCAGGAGATCACTCTGTCATGCTGATTGAGTTAGAATAACAGACTGGAAGCTTTAAAAGGAGGGTGGTGCTTGAAATCATTGTTCTTCCTCTGTTAACCATGGTTACCTGCAAGGAAACACGTGCCGTCATCATTGCTTTGCACAAAAAGGGCTTCACAGGCAAGGATATTGCTGCTAGTAAGATTGCACATAAATAAACCATTTATCGGATCATCAAGAACTTCAAGGAGAGAGGTTCAATTGTTGTGAAGAAGGCGTCAGGGCGCCCAAGAAAGTCCAGCAAGCGCCAGGACCATCTCCTAAATTTGATTCAGCTGCGGGGTCGGGGCAACGCCAGTGCAGAGCTTGCTCAGGAATGGCAGCAGGCAGGTGTGAGTGCATCTGCACGCACAGTGAGGCAAAGACTTTTGGAGGATGGCTTGGTGTCAAGAAGGGCAGCAAAGAAGCCACTTCTCTCCAGGAAAAACATCAGGGACAGACTGATATTCTGCAAAAGGTACAGGGATTGGACTGCTGAGGACTGGGGTAAAGTCATTCTCAACACATCCTCCGAGAGCAACTTCTCCCAACCATCCAAGAACAGTTTGGTGACGACCAATGCCTTTTCCAGCATGATGGAACACCTTGCCATAAGGCAAAAGTGATAACTAAGTGGCTCGGGGAACAAAACATCGAAACGTTGGGTCCATGGCCAGGAAACTCCCCAGACCTTAATCCCATTGAGAACTTGTGGTCAATCCTCAAGAGGCGGGTGGACAAACAAAAACCCACAAATTCTGAAAAACTCCAAGCATTGATTATGCAAGAATGGGCTGCCATCAGTCAGGATGTGGCCCAGAAGTTAATTGACAGCATGCCAGGGCGGATTGCAGAGGTCTTGAAAAAGAAGGGTCAACACTGCAAATATTGACTCTTTGCATAAACTTAATGTAATTGTCAATAAAAGCCTTTGACACTTATGGAATGCTTGTAATTACACTTCAGTATACCATAGTAACATCTGACAGAAATATCTCATTACACTGAAGCAGCTAAAGAAGTTTGGAATGTTATTATATAACTTTAAAATAAATCAATTTGACAAACAGTAAAAATAGTTCAAATCCTACTGGATGTATTAGACTGCAGAATTGAATTGGGGGCATGTATACTCTATCGTGTGTGTTGGACATCCATATTGGACTGTACAGTCTTACCTGAGGAGTGGGCACCATGAAACGGAGTAACAGCCCACTCAGTGACACCCACAGAACACAACTGTGTAGAGTTTACACAGATATTAGTGTCACAGCTCTTATGTAAACTCTACACAGTTGTGTTCTGTGGGTGTCACTGAGTAGGCTGATACTCCGTTTCATGGTGCCCACTCCTCAGGTAAGGCTGTACAGTCCAATATGGATGTCCAACACACACAACAGACTGACTGGGGAGGTGATTTGCCACAGTCAAAGTTCTGCAATAATAACGACGCTAACATTTGTGTAGACTCTTTGTGGCCAGCGTTCCACAGGGATGCTGGCCCATTCCACAGGGATGCTGGCCCATTCCACAGGGATGCTGGCCCATTCCACAGGGATGCTGGCCCATTCCACAGGGATGCTGGCCCATGCTGGCCCATGTTGACTCCAATGCTTCCCACAGTTGTGTCAAGTTGGCTGGATGTCCTTTGGGTGATGGACCATTCTTGAAACACACGGGAAACTGTTGAGCATGAAAAACCCAGCAGCGTTGCAGTTCTTGACACACTCAAACTAGTGCATCTGGCACCTACTACCATACCCCATTCAAAGGCACTTCAATCTTTTTGTCTTTCCCTCTGAATGGCACACAGACACAATCCATGTCTCAATTGTCTCAAGGCTTATTGAAGTGGATTTAACAAGTGACATCAATAAGGGATCAGAGCTTTCAGCTGGATTCACCTGGTCAATCTAAGTCATAGATATAGCAGGTGTTCTTAATGTTTTGTCCACTCAGTGTGTATGGTCTAATACATTCACAGTGAGATTGAACATTTAATAATTAATTTTTTTACAGTTTATTATCAAATGTTTTCATTATTGTATAACAACATTCCAACTTTGTTTATCATTATCTAGTCCAAATATGGCATCATTCCACTCGTTGGATCAGTTTGGATTCAGTTTCATTGAGAGACCTTTATCTTGAAGGCGAACTGCAACTTCCACTATTGTGGCTAATCCTTATTGTGGCTGGCTCCACGCGCTGGCTGCTTCACGTTTTATAACACACAGGCTGAAGGTAAGCTGTTACAAAACTGATGCTTTTGTAACACTGTAATACACGAACACACTTTTAGGTAATTGTTCGCTAATAATGTAGGCCTAGTAGATTTTAATTAGATTTTTTAATGTATTTTCTAATTATACAAAAAAAACATATCAGAATTTTGAAACGTGAGGTTTCTGTAGGAGCCAAAAAGAAAATGGCTTATATTTAATACTAATATACAACAGGTAAGAAAGATCGACATGGTCTTAGACATTTGATTTATTATCTACATGAAAAATGTACCAAAGATCAACAGGATGTGTTGAGGCTTTGTCATCAAGGCTATAGGAGGATTCCATTCTAAACAAGCCCCAATCAAAAGCCCAGTCAGTCATTACCAACCTCTGACTGCATACATGCAGTACCCACATACTGCCCCACTGTCTGGATCAGTACAACCTCTATAGCATGGGCCCCACTGTCTGGATCAGTACAACCTCTATAGCATGGGCCCCACTGTCTGGATCAGTACAACCTCTATAGCATGGGCCCCACTGTCTGGATCAGTACAACCTCTATAGCATGGGCCCCACTGTCTGGATCAGTACAACCTCTATAGCATGGGCCCCACTGTCTGGATCAGTACAACCTCTATAGCATGGGCCCCACTGTCTGGATCAGTACAACCTCTATAGCATGGGCCCCACTGTCTGGATCAGTACAACCTCTATAGCATGGGCATCTAACCGGTATCATTAAATGGTCTGGCTGGCCAACCTCTATAGCATGGGCATCTAACAGGTATCATTAAATGGTCTGGATCAGTACAACCTCTATAGCATGGGCATCTAACAGGTATCATTAAATGGTCTGGCTGGCCAACCTCTATAGCATGGGCATCTAACAGGTATCATTAAATGGTCTGGCTGGCCAACCTCTATAGCATGGGCATCTAACAGGTATCATTAAATGGTCTGGCTGGCCAACCTCTATAGCATGGGCATCTAACAGGTATCATTAAATGTCATTTCATATAAAAGTGCAATACGAAATGTACTGTATATTGAGTAGTTGACATGACTTTTTTTGTCCATGATGGCAAACACAAATATGATTTAACTTAAATTGGCTAAAATTGTGATACAAAACTAAAAGCTTTGTTTTTTAAAACTTGGATAATAAGTAAATTCATGCAGTGTATCATTTGTTTTCTTGCAATTTTGAACTAAACGTGACCATTTTCCAATGGTCTGTTGTCCAATGGTCTGACTGTCCAATGGTCTGACTGTCCAATGGTCTGACTGTCCAATGGTCTGACTGTCCAATGGTCTGACTGTCCAATGGTCTGACTGTCCAATGGTCTGACTGTCCAATGGTCTGACTGTCCAATGGTCTGACTGTCCAATGGTCTGACTGTCCAATGGTCTGACTGTCCAATGGTCTGACTGTCCAATGGTCTGACTGTCCAATGGTCTGACTGTCCAATGGTCTGACTGTCCAATGGTCTGACTGTCCAATGGTCTGACCCTGGTAATGTTGTGGAACTTTGAACATAAGTAAATTAATGAAAAATGTAATTAAATTCCCTTCACCTACTTTTGTAGTTATTATACAGAAATGTATTTCAAGAAACAATAGTCCCCAAGTCTATTCAGGATATTACCAAATAGTTCTGATTGATTACATTTTTGTCCCTAAAAGCACAATTCTGTGATTAATCATCGATCCAGCATTTGGGCACCATTGGCTGGGGAGGGTTCTCTTGGGGAGGGTTCTCTTGGGGAGGGTTCTCTTGGAATGAGAAGTATAGCAAACATGGCTTGATCTCATGACCTTAACACACTGGAAGCTTTATAGAAATATTTATGAAACATTGCACTTCTCTGCCATTGCCATAAAAGGGGTCAGTTTCTTAGTCCTTTGGCCTTTTGAATGTAGGTTCATGCTCTACAACATTCGGAGAGTACGACCCTGCCTTACACAGGAAGCGGCACAGGTCCTAATCCAGGCACTTGTCATCTCCCGTCTGGATTACTGCAACTCGCTGTTGGCTGGGCTCCCTGCCTGTGCCATTAAACCCCTACAACTCATCCAGAATGCAGCAGCCCGTCTGGTGTTCAACCTTCCCAAGTTCTCTCACGTCACCCCGCTCCTCCGCACACTCCACTGGCTTCCAGTTGAAGCTCGCATCTGCTACAAGACCATGGTGCTTGCCTACGGAGCTGTGAGGGGAACGGCACCTCCGTACCTTCAGGCTCTGATCAGTCCCTACACCCAAACGAGGGCATTGCGTTCATCCACCTCTGGCCTGCTGGCCCCCCTACCTCTGCAGAAGCACAGTTCCTGCTCAGCCCAGTCAAAACTGTTCGCTGCTCTGGCACCCCAATGGTGGAACAAGCTCCCTCACGACGCCAGGACAGCGGAGTCGCTCACCACCTTCCGGAGACACTTGAAACCCTACCTCTTTAAGGAATACCTGGGATAGGATAAAGTAATCCTTCTACCCCCCCTTACCCCACCCCCCAAAAAAAATATTTAAAAAATAAACATATTGTAAAGTGGTTATCCCACTGGCTATAAGGTGAATGCACCAATTTGTAAGTCGTTCTGGATAAGAGCGTCTGCTAAATGACGTAAATGTAAATGTAAATGTTTATACTGAGTGTACAAAACATTAAGAACACCTGCTCTTTCCATGACAGACTGACCAGGAGAATCCAGGTGAAAGCTATGGATCCCTTATTGATGTCACTTGTTAAATCCACCTCAATCAGTGTAGATGAAGGGGAGGAGACAGGTTAAAGAAGGATGTTTAAGCCTTGAGACAATTGAGACATGGATTGTGTACGTGTGACATTCAGAGGGTGAATGGGCAAGACAAAATATTGAAGTGCCTTTGAACGGGGGTATGGTAGTAGGTGCCAGGTGCACCGGTTTGTCTCAAGAACTGCAACACTGCTGGGGTTTTCACGCTCAACAGTTTCCTGTGTGTATCAAGAATGGTCCACCACCCAAAGGACATCCAGAATGGTCCACCACCCAAAGGACATCCAGAATGGTCCACCACCCAAAGGACATCCAGAATGGTCCACCACCCAAAGGACATCCAGAATGGTCCACCACCCAAAGGACATCCAGAATGGTCCACCACCCAAAGGACATCCAGAATGGTCCACCACCCAAAGGACATCCAGAATGGTCCACCACCCAAAGGACATCCAGAATGGTCCACCACCCAAAGAACACCCAGAATGGTCCACCACCCAAAGGACATCCAGAATGGTCCACCACCCAAAGGACATCCAGAATGGTCCACCACCCAAAGAACATCCAGAATGGTCCACCACCGAAAGGACATCCAGAATGGTCCACCACCCAAAGGACATCCAGTCAACTTGACACAACAGTAAGAAAGACTATTGAGAGTAAATATGAGCTCATCGTAGGAGAGCTGTAGCTCCGCCCACAGGTGCTGTGCGATCTCTGAGGAGAAGGAAGAAACTAGAGAAAGTACACAAGGTAAGTGATAAGTTACAGTCATCGCCTGTGATTCCCTTTAGTTAGCATTCTTTGCTTTAGCCAAGGCCAGTCCTTCAGAAATGTGAGTTCATATTTCTGACTCTTCATGTGGACTCCTCTTTGTTATGCTAATTGAAGTGTTTACCGCGAGCTAGCAACTGTCAGCTTGTTAACCCTGTTTCTGTCATCTCATTTCAGACATTTAGCTGTGTATTGTAAATGTCCACCAGTGTCTAGTCTTATATGCGCTGTGGTTGTATGGATGTCTACTGTATAGATTATGGGGGTATTTTGATAGCAATGAGCCTTGTGGATGTAGCTATATACATTCAAGTTCATACAGTTGTGTGAGGATGATGGTGCTGCTGTGTAGTTGCACTCCACTGATCATTCATTAGAAGTCACAGTCATGTTGTTAGGTTGTATTTTCCTGTGCAGCAGATGAGCTATGAATAATATGGCTTTTTCTGTAAGTCTTCACAAGGTTTTCACACACTGTTGCTGGTATTTTGGCCCATTCCTCCATGCAGATCTCCTCTAGAGCAGTGATGTTTTGGGGCTGTTGCTGGGCAACACAGACTTTCAACTCCCTCCAAAGATTTTCTATGGGGTTGAGATCTGGAGACTGGCTAGGCCACTCCAGGACCTTGAAATGCTTCTTACGAAGCCACTCCTTCGTTGCCCGGGCGGTGTGTTTGGGATCATTGTCATGCTGAAAGACCCAGCCACGTTTCATCTTTAATGCCCTTGCTGATGGAAGGAGGTTTTCACTCAAAATCTCACGATACATGGCCCCATTCATTCTTTCCTTTACACGGATCAGTCGTCCTGGTCCCTTTGCAGAAAAACAGCCCCAAAGCATGATGTTTCCACCCCCATGCTTCACAGTAGGTATGGTGTTCTTTGGATGCAACTCAGCATTCTTTGTCCTCCAAACACAACGAGTTGAGTTTTTACCAAAAAGTTCTATTTTGGTTTCATCTGACCATATGACATTCTCCCAATCCTCTTCTGGATCATCCAAATGCACTCTAGCAAACTTCAGACGGGCCTGGACATGTACTGGCTTAAGCAGGGGGACACGTCTGGCACTGCAGGATTTGAGTCCCTGGCGGCGTAGTGTGTTACTGATGGTAGGCTTTGTTACTTTGGTCCCAGCTCTCTGCAGGTCATTCACTAGGTCCCCCCGTGTGGTTCTGGGATTTTTGCTCACCGTTCTTGTGATCATTTTGACCCCACGGGGTGAGATCTTGCGTGGAGCCCCAGATCGAGGGAGAGTTGACGTGTACCTATGATGAAAATTACAGGCCTCTCTCATCTTTTTAAGTGGGAGAACTTGCACAATTGGTGGCTGACTAAATACTTTTTTTCCCCACTGTAACTTATAACCAGAGAATGTCCCAAAACCTTGGAGCATGTCCAAGAGATAGGGTATAGACTCCACAGGGTTAGAGAGAGGGTATAGACTCCACGGGGTTAGAGAGAGGGTATAGACTCCACAGGGTTAGAGAGAGGGTATAGACTCCACGGGGTTAGAGAGAGGGTATAGACTCCACAGGGTTAGAGAGAGGGTATAGACTCCACAGGGTTAGAGAGAGGGTATAGAATCCACAGGGTTAGAGAGAGGGTATAGACTCCACAGGGTTAGAGAGAGGGTATAGACTCCACAGGGTTAGAGAGAGGGCATAGACTCCACGGGGTTAGAGAGAGGGTATAGACTCCACGGGGTTAGAGAGAGGGTATAGACTCCACGGGGTTAGAGAGAGGGTATAGACTCCACAGGGTTAGAGAGAGGGTATAGACTCCACAGGGTTAGAGAGAGGGTATAGACTCCACAGGGTTAGAGAGAGGGTATAGACTCCATGGGGTTAGAGAGAGGGTATAGACTCCACAGGGTTAGAGAGAGGGTATAGACTCCACAGGGTTAGAGAGAGGGTATAGACTCCACGGGGTTAGAGAGAGGGTATAGACTCCACGGGGTTAGAGAGAGGGCATAGACTCCACAGGGTTAGAGAGAGGGTATAGAATCCACAGGGTTAGAGATGTATAGAAGAAGATGGTCTGCATATCAGGACACCTTGTGAGTTATGTCTCCACTTAGTATTTCCTTCATCCTCTCCTCCGCCTGCAGGGAGATAACAAGACCGCTGCCTGGCCAACCTGTGGAGAGGGAAGTAGCTGCCTGGCCAACCTGTGGAGAGGGAAGTAGCTGCCTGGCCAACCTGTGGAGAGGGAAGTAGCTGCCTGGCCAACCTGTGGAGAGGGAAGTAGCTGCCTGGCCAACCTGTGGCTAGAGGTAACTTTTTGGTGCGAACAGAAGCCACTGGAGACGAGTACAAAATCTTGAAAGGAATGACAGGTCAAACCCAAATCGCTCTACTACTGTAAATAGATATTCCCAGATACCCCGGTGGAAAGGTTTCTCTGCATCCAGAGAGATGACGACCTCTGACCTCTGACCTCTGGCTGTGGAGTTGAGTGGGTAGAATAAAGAATAAAGAACGTGGTCCTCTGTAGCTCAGCTGGTAGAGCACGGTGCTTGTAACGCCAAGGTAGTGGGTTCGATCCCCGGGACCACCCATACACAAAAATGTATGCACGCGTGACTGTAAGTCGCTTTGGATAAAAGCGTCTGCTAAATGGCATATTATTATTTATTATATTATTTTATTATATATATTAAATAGCCTGCGCATATTATAGAAAGATTGCCTACCTGAGATAAATCCGGTTTGGTCAGAGTTAATTATATTAGGCATCACTGTCTCTAAACGGCGCTAGAGGACCTTCGCAGCACAAGAAGGTTATAGGGCGTTATGAGCCACAGTCTAAAGGATTCTTGTCCTTTTTAAGCAAAACCTAAATAGTCGCCTGGGTAAGTCTCTGGGTAAGTGTCTGGGTAAGTGTCTGGGTAAGTGTCTGGGTAAGTGTCTGGGTAAGTGTCTGGGTAAGTCTCTGGGTAAGTCTCTGGGTAAGTGTCTGGGTAAGTCTCTGGGTAAGTGTCTGGGTAAGTCTCTGGGTAAGTCTCTGGGTAAGTGTCTGACTAGAAAGGATTTCCTTGTACATTGAGCTGAGGATAGAGAAGCCATCAGGCCCAGGAGCTTTACCGCTCTGCCCGAGTAGCTTCCTCATCACTTATTGAGGCATCCATGTTAGTTTGTTCATCTGAGTTGAGACCGGGGATGTCCAGATGTCTAGAAATGCATTTTTTATTGTATTTATTCCACCTTTATTTAACCAGGTAAGCCAGTTGAGAACAAGTTCTCATTTACAACTGGGACCTGGCCAAGATAAAGCAAAGCAGTGCGATAAAAACAACAACACAGAGTTACATATGGGGTAAAACAAAACATAAAGTCAAAAAATAAAAAAAACAGAAAATATATATACAGTGTGTGCAAATGCATGCATACGAGATGTGTCAGGAAGAGCCTCTGAAGAGGAAAGAGCAGAGTAGAATTGCTTAAATTGATTGTTGCTTTCTTTGGGATCGGTAGAAGTTACATCAGCTGCAACACAGATTTCAGATATGGTGCTGCTAACAGCGGCTTGTCCAAGCTGGTGAGAGAACAACTTGCCAGATTTCTCTCCTTGTTCATGAAATGTCTGCCTCGATTTAAACAGAAGCTGCTCCGTTTGTTTAGAGGAAAGCTTGTCAAATTCCGATTGGTGTAGCAATCTCTCTTTGTAGAGTTCAGGAGTCGCAGAAGAGGCATATCTGTTGTCCACATCTAGAACGAGTTGAGATAGCTCCGATAAGCGTTTAGTGCGGTGTTTGTCATACGCTGTGTATGAAATAATTAGATATGCTTTTAACAACACCCACACAGTAGAATGAGACACGTCAGGGGTGCAGTTGATCTGTAAAAAGACATCGGTGTGAGGTGATATGTATTTTGTAAAGGCACTACAGGATAGCGGGTCAAGTCGCCACGCGCGTTATGACAGTACTGTCCGGAAAGCGGATATCTAGCTGGACAGGGCTATGCGGTGATATTGGCTATTAGTTACAAAAGGAAGAATTCTATTGTCCAGCAGGAAAAAGTCAATCCTAGAGTATGAACGGTGGACTGGAGAAAAAAAGGAGTATATTTTAGCCGTGGGATTGGTCCTCCTCCATGGATCAGACAAATTATAGGATTCTAGAAATGAGTTGATTACTGCGCCTGATTTGGGCTTCGGTCTGGATCTGTCTAGACTTAGATGTAATACACTATTGAAATCTCCGCCCAATATCAAATGATGAGCGTTCAGGTCGGGAAGTGTTGCAATGAGGTCAGAGGAAAATGTAGCGTCATCCAAATTAGGACCATAGAGGTTAGCCAGAACAACCTGTGTTTCCCCATCACTATAACATATCTGCCATTAGTATCTGAAATGACTTTGGAGGAGGCAAACCAGTGCCTTTTCTGATAAGGACGGCTGCCCCTCTGGCCTTCGACCCATCCTCTCTTTAGTTTATCATGGCCGCTGGACCGGAGATGGGTCTCTTGGAGAAAAACAAGCAGTTGGACGCAGCTTCATCATGGTCAGAACACAGATAATATTGTTATTTAGATGGGAATTGCTTTTACAAGAACATGTTCAGAGTATGTAACATCTAGCACTCTGAATCAGGTGATTCAATCCCTGGTCCTGGCACTCTGAATCAGGTGATTCAATCCCTGGTCCTGGCACTCTGAATCAGGTGATTCAATCCCTGGTCCTGTCACTCTGAATCAGGTGATTCAATCCCTGGTCCTGTCACTCTGAATCAGGTGATTCAATCCCTGGTCCTGTCACTCTGAATCAGGTGATTCCATCCCTGGTCCTGTCACTCTGAATCAGGTGATTCCATCCCTGGTCCTGGCACTCTGAATCAGGTGATTCCATCCCTGGTCCTGTCACTCTGAATCAGGTGATTCCATCCCTGGTCCTGGCACTCTGAATCAGGTGATTCAAGCCCTGGTCCTGTCACACCTGTCCTGTCACTCTGAATCAGGTGATTCCATCCCTGGTCCTGTCACTCTGAATCAGGTGATTCAATCCCTGGTCCTGTCACTCTCCTGTCACTCTGAATCAGGTGATTCAATCCCTGGTCCTGGCACTCTGAATCAGGTGATTCCATCCCTGGTCCTGTCACTCTGAATCAGGTGATTCCATCCCTGGTCCTGGCACTCTGAATCAGGTGATTCAATCCCTGGTCCTGGCACTCTGAATCAGGTGATTCAATCCCTGGTCCTGTCACTCTGAATCAGGTGATTCCATCCCTGGTCCTGTCACTCTGAATCAGGTGATTCAATCCCTGGTCCTGTCACTCTGAATCAGGTGATTCCATCCCTGGTCCTGTCACTCTGAATCAGGTGATTCCGTCCCTGGTCCTGGCACTCTGAATCAGGTGATTCCATCCCTGGTCCTGTCACTCTGAATCAGGTGATTCCATCCCTGGTCCTGTCACTCTGAATCAGGTGATTCCATCCCTGGTCCTGGCACTCTGAATCAGGTGATTCAAGCCCTGGTCCTGTCACTCTGAATCAGGTGATTCCATCCCTGGTCCTGTCACTCTGAATCAGGTGATTCCATCCCTGGTCCTGGCACTCTGAATCAGGTGATTCAATCCCTGGTCCTGGCACTCTGAATCAGGTGATTCAATCCCTGGTCCTGTCACTCTGAATCAGGTGATTCATCCCTGGTCCAGTCACTCTGAATCAGGTGATTCAATCCCTGGTCCTGGCACTCTGAATCAGGTGATTCAATCCCTGGTCCTGGCACTCTGAATCAGGTGATTCAATCCCTGGTCCTGTCACTCTGAATCAGGTGATTCAATCCCTGGTCCTGGCACTCTGAATCAGGTGATTTAATCCCTGGTCCTGGCACTCTGAATCAGGTGATTCAATCCCTGGTCCTGTCACTCTGAATCAGGTGATTCCATCCCTGGTCCTGGCACTCTGAATCAGGTGATTCAATCCCTGGTCCTGTCACTCTGAATCAGGTGATTCCATCCCTGGTCCTGGCACTCTGAATCAGGTGATTCAATCCCTGGTCCTGTCACTCTGAATCAGGTGATTCAATCCCTGGTCATGTCACTCTGAATCAGGTGATTCCCATCCCTGGTCCTGGCACTCTGAATCAGGTGATTCAATCCCTGGTCCTGGCACTCTGAATCAGGTGATTCAATCCCTGGTCCTGTCACTCTGAATCAGGTGATTCAATCCCTGGTCCTGTCACTCTGAATCAGGTGATTCCATCCCTGGTCCTGGCACTCTCAATCAGGTGATTCCATCCCTGGTCCTGTCACTCTGAATCAGGTGATTCCATCCCTGGTCCTGGCACTCTGAATCAGGTGATTCAAGCCCTGGTCCTGTCACTCTGAATCAGGTGATTCCATCCCTGGTCCTGTCACTCTGAATCAGGTGATTCCATCCCTGGTCCTGGCACTTTGAATCAGGTGATTCAATCCCTGGTCCTGGCACTCTGAATCAGGTGATTCAATCCCTGGTCCTGTCACTCTGAATCAGGTGATTCCATCCCTGGTCCTGTCACTCTGAATCAGGTGATTCAATCCCTGGTCCTGTCACTCTGAATCAGGTGATTCCATCCCTGGTCCTGTCACTCTGAATCAGGTGATTCCATCCCTGGTCCTGGCACTCTGAATCAGGTGATTCCATCCCTGGTCCTGTCACTCTGAATCAGGTGATTCCATCCCTGGTCCTGTCACTCTGAATCAGGTGATTCCATCCCTGGTCCTGGCACTCTGAATCAGGTGATTCAAAGCCCTGGTCCTGTCACTCTGAATCAGGTGATTCCATCCCTGGTCCTGTCACTCTGAATCAGGTGATTCCATCCCTGGTCCTGGCACTCTGAATCAGGTGATTCAATCCCTGGTCCTGGCACTCTGAATCAGGTGATTCAATCCCTGGTCCTGTCACTCTGAATCAGGTGATTCATCCCTGGTCCAGTCACTCTGAATCAGGTGATTCAATCCCTGGTCCTGGCACTCTGAATCAGGTGATTCAATCCCTGGTCCTGGCACTCTGAATCAGGTGATTCAATCCCTGGTCCTGTCACTCTGAATCAGGTGATTCAATCCCTGGTCCTGTCACTCTGAATCAGGTGATTCCATCCCTGGTCCTGTCACTCTGAATCAGGTGATTCCATCCCTGGTCCTGGCACTCTGAATCAGGTGATTCAATCCCTGGTCCTGGCACTCTGAATCAGGTGATTCAATCCCTGGTCCTGTCACTCTGAATCAGGTGATTCATCCCTGGTCCAGTCACTCTGAATCAGGTGATTCAATCCCTGGTCCTGGCACTCTGAATCAGGTGATTCAATCCCTGGTCCTGGCACTCTGAATCAGGTGATTCAATCCCTGGTCCTGTCACTCTGAATCAGGTGATTCAATCCCTGGTCCTGTCACTCTGAATCAGGTGATTCAATCCCTGGTCCTGTCACTCTGAATCAGGTGATTCAATCCCTGGTCCTGTCACTCTGAATCAGGTGATTCATCCCTGGTCCAGTCACTCTGAATCAGGTGATTCAATCCCTGGTCCTGTCACTCTGAATCAGGTGATTCCATCCCTGGTCCTGGCACTCTGAATCAGGTGATTCCATCCCTGGTCCTGTCACTCTGAATCAGGTGATTCCATCCCTGGTCCTGTCACTCTGAATCAGGTGATTCAATCCCTGGTCCTGTCACTCTGAATCAGGTGATTCCATCCCTGGTCCTGTCACTCTGAATCAGGTGATTCAATCCCTGGTCCTGTCACTCTGAATCAGGTGATTCAATCCCTGGTCCTGGCACTCTGAATCAGGTGATTCCATCCCTGGTCCTGTCACTCTGAATCAGGTGATTCAATCCCTGGTCCTGTCACTCTCAATCAGGTGATTCCATCCACTGGTCCTGGCACTCTGAATCAGGTGATTCCATCCCTGGTCCTGTCACTCTGATCAGGTGATTCCATCCCTGGTCCTGTCACTCTGAATCAGGTGATTCAATCCCTGGTCCTGTCACTCTGAATCAGGTGATTCCATCCTGGTCCTGTCACTCTGAATCAGGTGATTCAATCCCTGGTCCTGGCACTCTGAATCAGGTGATTCAATCCCTGGTCCTGTCACTCTGAATCAGGTGATTCAATCCCTGGTCCTGTCACTCTGAATCAGGTGATTCAATCCCTGGTCCTGTCACTCTGAATCAGGTGATTCAATCCCTGGTCCTGTCACTCTGAATCAGGTGATTCACTCCCTGGTCCTGTCACTCTGAATCAGGTGATTCAATCCTGGTCCTGTCACTCTGAATCAGGTGATCATCCCTGGTCCTGTCACTCTGAATCAGGTGATTCAATCCCTGGTCCTGTCACTCTGAATCAGGTGATTCACTCCTTGGTCCTCTCACACCTGTCCAGTAATATGGTCATCTGCAGCAAAGAAAGATATAAAAACCTCAAGATCGTTCAAAACAGGGCTGCCAGATTAGCTCTTCATTGCTCTATCAAAACAGGGCTGCCAGATTAGCTCTTCATTGCTCTATCATAACAGGGCTGCCAGATTAGCTCTTCATTGCTCTATCAAAACAGGGCTGCCAGATTAGCTCTTCATTGCTCTATCATAACAGGGCTGCCAGATTAGCTCTTCATTGCTCTATCATAACAGGGCTGCCAGATTAGCTCTTCATTGTTCTATCAAAACAGGGCTGCCAGATTAGCTCTTCATTGCTCTATCATAACAGGGCTGCCAGATTAGCTCTTCATTGCTCTATCATAACAGGGCTGCCAGATTAGCTCTTCATTGCTCAATCATAACAGGGCTGCCAGATTAGCTCTTCATTGCTCTATCATAACAGGGCTGCCAGATTAGCTCTTCATTGTTCTATCAAAACAGGGCTGCCAGATTAGCTCTTCATTGCTCTATCATAACAGGGCTGCCAGATTAGCTCTTCATTGCTCTATCATAACAGGGCTGCCAGATTAGCTCTTCATTGCTCTATCATAACAGGGCTGCCAGATTAGCTCTTCATTGCTCTATCATAACAGGGCTGCCAGATTAGCTCTTCATTGCTCTATCTTAACAGGGCTGCCAGATTAGCTCTTCATTGCTCTATCATAACAGGGCTGCCAGATTAGCTCTTCATTGCTCTATCATAACAGGGCTGCCAGATTAGCTCTTCATTGCTCTATCATAACAGGGCTGCCAGATTAGCTCTTCATTGCTCTATCATAACAGGGCTGCCAGATTAGCTCTTCATTGCTCTATCATAACAGGGCTGCCAGATTAGCTCTTCATTGCTCTATCATAACAGGGCTGCCAGATTAGCTCTTCATTGCTCTATCATAACAGGGCTGCCAGATTAGCTCTTCATTGCTCTATCATAACAGGGCTGCCAGATTAGCTCTTCATTGCTCTATCATAACAGGGCTGCCAGATTAGCTCTTCATTGCTCTATCATAACAGGGCTGCCAGATTAGCTCTTCATTGCTCTATCATAACAGGGCTGCCAGATTAGCTCTTCATTGCTCTATCTGTATGAATATTATCCAAATGCATCAGAATCTCTCATGGCTTCACGCTGAAAACAAATTACTATCCAGTTTTCTGATTTTCTTTAGGAATGTTATATTTTTAAAAAAACCACAGTATTTTTCAGACCAGTTAGTACATACTAACAACATGCATAACCACCAAACCATACAGGTAAATTCAGGGCATCTAAGACAACCCAAGCCAAGGACAAATCGCCTTAAATCTACAGTTTTATATAGAGCCATAGCTGAATGGAACTCTTTACCAATCCATATTTCTCAGGCAAAAAGTAAATCCACCTTCAAGAAAAAACTAAAATACCATCTAATGTGATAGACCATGTGACAGGAAACAGAAAGCATCAACTGAATGTTAAATGTGTTACCTGTCAGGTATTTTAATTGTCTGTATTGTCTACTTGTTAAATGTTTGTAAAGTCTTAATTTGTAATTGTTTGTAATGTCTTATTAATTGGTGTTGGACCCCAGGAAGATTAGCTAACGTTACGGCGTTAGCCAATGGGGATCCTAATAAAAATAAACCTTGTTGAAGGCCGACCTTTTCTTCATGACTGCCGCCATGTAGTCTGGGTAAATGTGAATCTTCAGGCCGCCGTGGGTGATGGGAGCCGGTCGTGATGCCTTACGGAGGACATCCTCTTTCTTCTGAAAGGAATTTGACTACGATGGGGCTGGGCGGCTCCCCATTCTTCGGTGCGGACTGTAAGCTTCTGTGCGCACGGTCAAGGGTGGGTGGCGTAATCGAGGCCTAGGATTTCCTGGAGCAGTTTAGCTATGAACAGGGTAGGCAGCAATCCACCTACGGTCTCGAGTCCCTCTCTTACGCCGTTCCCCCAGTGCTGTCTGTTCTCGAGGTCCTCGACCTTGGAAGTAAGTTTGACGACACCTGATGATAGCCGGGTGACTTGCTCTTGTCACCACCACCACCACTTTGTCGGAGGAAGTATTTGCGCCGCCCTCCAGGTTACTCAGACGGGCTTCCTGTTTCGCCAAGTCTTCTTTAACGGAGTGTCTTTGTGTTGACCTCGGTGGTGAGAGTGGCTATTTGTGTGGATAGGTAGATAGATAGGTCAGTGGATATGGACTCCACCTTAGCCAGCACAGTCTGTTCAGACTTAGTGATAGCCGCCATTACCTTGGCTAGGTCAGGGGGGGTCGGGGGGGTCAGGGGGGGTCAGGGGGGTCAGGGGGGTCGGGAGGGTCAGGGGGGGTCAGAGTCCGGTGAGCGCGAGGATTTAGTAGAGGCTCTTTTGTGACTCATGGCCGTTGTTGTTTCGACATTTTACAATGAAAGGGCGAAAAAACTAAAACAGGAGAAATAACAAAATTAGTGAATTGGGTTTGATTCCTAATAAAATGTAACAAAATTAATGCGGTAGGGGAGGTGTTGGTGAAATATTAATAGTAAATTGTTCGGACAGGAGCACCGAGAAAACGCGTCTTCACATGTTGCTGCTCATCAGCGCCCCCCACTTCAAATCCTTTAAGGAGGATCCATTGGTGATGTTCAGAAGCATTTTTACAGTGCTCAGAAACTTCTGAAAGTGTAATTAATTCTGTTTTAACAGTAAAATGTGACTGACTGCCTGTTGTATATCGTCCATCGATGTGACAAAATGTCCTACGGGGTGACGCCAATAAATGAAAGGGAAAAAAGGTTTTTGTCTTGGACAAAATGTATACATCATCATTAAGCCTGAGGCATTATATTGCCGTGTGGCGTACCGCAGGTTAGCCACCAGGGGGAGACTCGTCAAGGCCTGGTGACAGACGCAGTCTACATCACACGACGGTGGCTCCCTCTGCTGGACGTGCCAGGTCTCGACGGGCTCTCTGGCCAGGACTAATTGGGGCTGATTGAGGTGGGTGAGTAATCAAGGGGATGATTGCTCACCAGCTGGACGAGTCCCATGAAGCTGCCAGAAGGGCAGCACACGGGGGTGGAGACTGGGGATGAGAGGTTACTCTGGTATAGTCGTGCTCAGTACCAGAGATAATGGAGGGAGCTTGGTTTTGTGCCCAGAAGACGGTATCCCGGAGGAGGTCTCCTGGAGGAGACCAATTATTTTCTCTTTGTTTATTATTTAAATAAACACCCTTGAAACCGAGCTAATACAATTCTGTCCTTGCCTGATCTGTGTCTCTCAATAAGACAGTATCTGGCGGCAGGTAGCTTAGTGGTTAAGAGCGTTGTGCCAGTAACCGAAAGGTTGCTGGTTCTCACACCCGTCGCTATGGGCGGGCCATAGGGGGCCGGGCCCGCCCCCAAAAATGCTTGTGCCCCCCCCCCCCCCACTTGAGGGAATGTATTATTAAATATACGTACTGTAGGCTAATAATAATTGTGCCGTGCCCTCCCATGCATTTCATATGCCCCCCTTAAGACTGAGGTCTGGCGACGGGTCTGCTGGTTCTAATCCCCGAGCTGACTAGGTGAAAAACCTGTCGATGTGCCCTTGAGCAAGGCACTTAACCCTAATTGCTCATGTAAGTCGCTCTGGATAAGAGCGTCTGCTAAATTACTAAAATGTAAATGTAAAAATGTATCTAGACTCTGGCATCATTCACCACCCGTTTAACTGTGTTCCACCATCAAGTCACATGTATTGTTCTGAATTAAAAGCTTAGTGATGACAAGGCAGTGGCATGGTGAATACTGCATATCATGACTTAGTTTAGTGCCACGGTTATAAAGGAGATCATGACCATAGAAATAAAATGTCTTCTGTCTTTCCATGGCCATGACATAGTGCCACGGTTATAAAGGAGAGGGCTATAGTCTGTCATGGAGCTTCTCTCCTCTTCAGTTCCAGCACTTTAGATTTGTTCCGTCTCTGTTTAAGTCACAGTACCAGTCAAAGGTTTGGACACACCTACTCATTCAAGGCTTTTTCTTTATTTTTACTATTTTCTGCATTGTAGAATAATAGTGAAGACATCAAAACTATGAAATAACACATATGGAATCATGTAGTAACCAAAAAAGTGTTAAACAAATCAAAATATATTTTATATTTGAGATTCTTCAAATAGCCACCCTTTGCCTTGATGACAGCTTTGCACACTCTTGGCATTCTCTCAACCAGCTTCATGAGGTAGTCACCTGGAATGCATTTCAATTAACAGGTGTGCCTTGTTTAAAATTAATTTCTGGAATTTCTTTCCTTCTTGATGCGTTTGAGCCAATCAGTTGTGTTGTGACAAGGTGTGTGTGTGGGGTGGAGAGGGGGGGGGGGGGGGGGGGGGGTATACAGAAGATAGCCCTATTTGGTAAAAGACCAAGTCCATATTATGGCAAGAACAGCTCAAATAAGCAAAGAGAAATGACAATCCATCACTACTTTAAGACATGAAGGTCAGTCAAGAACTTTGAAAGGTTCTTCAAGTGCAGTCGCAAAAAACATCAAGCTATGATGAAACTGGCTCTCGTGAGGACCGCCACAGGAATGGAAGACCCAGAGTTACCTCTGCTGCAGAGGATAAGTTCATTAGAGTTACCAGCCTCAGAAATTGCAGCCCAAATAAATGCTTCACAGAGTTCAAGTAACAGATACATCTCAACATCAACTGTTCAGAGGAGACATGTCTTTGTGAGATGCGGTGTGGATGAACGGATGATCTCTGCATGTGTATTTCCCACCGTAAAGCATGGAGGAGGAGGTGTTATGGTGTGGGGGTGCTTTTCTGGTGACACTGTCTGTGATATATTTAGAATTCAAGGCACACTTAACCAGCATGGCTACCACAGCATTCTGCAGTGATACACCATCCCATCTGGTTTGGGCTTAGAGGGACTATGATATGTTTTTCAACAGGACAATGACCCAATACACATCCAGGCTATTTTACCAAGAAGGAGAGTGATGGAGTGCTGCATCAGATGACCTGGCCTCCACAATCACCTGACCTCAACCCAATTGAGTCTGATGGTCCACTAGACGGTCTGATGGTTCACTAGACGGTCTGATGGTTCACTAGACGGTCTGATGGTCCACTAGACGGTCTGATGGTTCACTAGACGGTCTGATGGTCCACTAGACGGTCTGATGGGTCCACTAGACGGTCTGAGGTCTGATGGTTCACTAGACGGTCTGATGGTTCACTAGACGGTCTGATGGTCCACTAGACGGTCTGATGGTTCACTAGACGGTCTGATGGTCTGATGGTTCACTAGACGGTCTGATGGTTCACTAGACGGTCTGATGGTCCACTAGACGGTCTGATGGTCCACTAGACGGTCTGATGGTTCACTAGACGGTCTGATGGTTCACTAGACGGTCTGATGGTCTGATGGTTCACTAGACGGTCTGATGGTCCACTAGACGGTCTGATGGTTCACTAGACGGTCTGATGGTCCACTAGACGGTCTGATGGTTCACTAGACGGTCTGATGGTTCACTAGACGGTCTGATGGTCTGATGGTTCACTAGACGGTCTGATGGTTCACTAGACGTTATGATTGGTTAACTAACGGTCATGATGTTCACTAGAGTTTCTGATGGCCTGATGTTAACTAGACGGTCTGATGGTCCACTAGACGGTCTGATGGTTATTCAATAGACGGTTTCTGATGTCCAATAGAACGGTTATGATGGGTTCATAGACGGTCTGATGGGTTCACTAGCGGCTTCTGATGGTTATGATGGTTCACAGACGGTTTTCTGAGGGTTTCCACTAGACGGTCTGATGACAGTCATGATGGTTCACTATGACGGTCTGATGGTTCACTAGACGGTCTGATGGTCCACTCGGGGGGGGGGAGGGGGGTGGAAAAAAAAAAGGTATCTGATGGTTTCCAATAGACGGTCTGAGCGTTCATAGAAGGTCTGATGGTTCACAGACGGTCTTGATGAGCCACTAGACGGTCTGACTGGTCCACTAGACGGTATGATGTTCCACTGACGGTCTCTTTGATGGTGCACTTAGCAGGTAGATGGTCCAATAGCATGGTTAGATGGTCCATAGACGGTTCTGGATGGTCACTGATGGTCCACTAGACGGGTCTGATGGTATGATGGTCCACTAGAAGGTCTGATGGGTCTGATGGTCCCTAGACGGGTCTGATGAGTCACAGACGGTCTGAGGTCTGATGGTTTCACTAGACGGTCCTGATGGTCTCTGATGGTTTCACTCGACGGTCTGATGGTCTGATGGTTCACTAGAAGGTATGATGTCTGCATGGTTCCACTAGACCGGTTAGATGGTCCACTAGACGTATTTGTTCTTGATGGTTCCAACTAGATTGGTCTGATGGTCCACTAGATGGTCATGATGGTCAACTAGAGGTATGATGGTCAAATAGACGGTTATGAGGTCCACTAGATGGTCTGAGCGTCACTAGACGGTTCTGATGGTGGTTCACTAGACGGTCTGAGGTTAACTAGACGGGTCTATGATGGCTCCACTAGACGGTTCTGATGTTCATAGAAGGTTTGATTGGTCCACTAGAGGTCTCTGATGTTCACTAGACGGTTCTGATTCATGATGGTCCACGAGACGGTCTGATGGTACCACTAGACGGTCTGATGGGCTGAGGGTCCACGGACGGTCTGACTGGTCGATGGATCCACTAGACGGTCTGATGGTTCTGATGGCTTCACTATAGAAGTCCTGATGGTCCACTAGACGGTCTGAGGTCCACTAGACGGTCCTGATGGTCCCAATAGACGGTCTGATGGTCAACTAGACGTTGATGGTTCACAGACGGTCGATGGTTCAATAGACGGTCGTCTGATGGTAACTAGACGGTTGATGGTCCAATAGACGGTATGCTGGTCTGATGGTCCACTAGCCGGCTGCTGATGGTCTGATGGTCCACTAGACGGTCTGATGGTCTGATGGTCCCCTAGACACGGTCTGATGGTCACTCGACGGTCTGAGGTCTGATGGTTTCCACTAGACGCTAAGGGAGATGGTATGATGGTCTGATGGTCACTAAGACGGTCTGATGGTCTGATGGTCCACTCGACGGTTCTGATGGTCTGGATGGTACACTCGACGGTATCTTGATGGTCTGATGGTTCAATAGACGGTTGATGAGTCTGATGGTCACTAGACGGTCTGATGGTCCACTAGACGGTTCTGAGGTTCAATAGAAGGTTTGATGGTTTCTTGATGGAATTCACTCGCGGTCGATGGATTCACTAGACAGGTCTTATGAGTGGTCACTAGATGGTCTGCTGATGGTCCACTAGACGGTCTGATGGTCTCCATAGACGGTTATTTGATGGTCCACTAGATGGTCTGATGGTCCACTAGACGGTCTGAGGTTCAATAGCGGTTGATTGGTTCACTTTAGACGGTCTGGATGGTCCACTAGACGGTCTGAGTTCACTAGATGGTCTGATGGTCCACATAGACGGTTCTGAGGGTTCACTAGACGAGTCTGATGGTTCACTAGACGAGTCCTGATGGTACACTAGACGGTCTGCGCCGGCACTAGATGGTCTGATGGTCCATAGAACGGTCGATGGTATGATGGTCCACTAGACGGTTCTTCGATGGTTGATGGTCATAGACGGATGATGAGTCCACTAGAACGGTCTGATGGTCTGATGGTCCACTAGACCAGGTTGATGGCCACCTAGACGGTTCTGATGTTCTGATGGCCATCTAGACGGTCTCGTGGTTCACTAGACGGGTCTGATGGTTCACTAGACTGTATCTGATGGTTCACTAGAGGCTGATCTGTGGACACTCGACGGTCTCGATGTTCACTAGACGGTCTGAAGGCTGCACTAGAACCCCGGTCTTCGGATGGTCAGCGCCCCACACGGTTCACAGACGTTCTGATGACGTCCATTAGACGGTCTGATGGTCCACTAGACGGTCTGATGGTTCAAGGACGGCTGATGGTCCACTAGATGGTCTGATGGTCACGAAGGTTGGTTCTGATGGTCCCAATAGACGCTGATGCGTCCTAGACGGTCTGATGGTACACTAGACGTATGAGGTCCATAGACGGTCTGATGGCCACTACTGACGGTCTGATGGTTCACTAGACGGTCTGATGGTCACTAGGACGGTATGATTGTCCAATAGCAGGTTTCCGTGATCGGTCCATAGATGGTATGATGGTCCACTAGCGGCTCTGCTTCTGATGGTCCACTTAGACGGTCTGATGGTCCACTCGACGGTTGCTGGTCCACGAGACGGTCCTGAGGTCTGATGAGTCCACTAGATGGTCTGATGGTCAACTAGACGGTTTGTAGGTCCACAGGACGGTCTCTGATGGTCCACTAGGCACGGTTTCTGATGGTTCAATAGACTGTATCTGATGGTTCACTAGACGGTCTGATTGGTCTGATGTCCACTAGACGGTCTGAGGTCCACTAGATTGGGTATGATGGTCCACTAGATGGTCTGAGGTCCACTAGACGGTCTGATGGTCACTAGACGGTCTTCTGATAGAGTCAACTAGACGGCATGATGGTCACACTAGACGGTCTGATGGTCCACTAGACGGTTAGATGGGTCAACTAGACGGGTCTGTCTATGAGTCACTAGACGTCTGAGGAGTCCACTAGACGAGTCATCTGATGTCTGATGGTTCACTAGACGAGTCTGATGGTCCATAGAGAGTCGTCTGATGGTCCACTAGCGGTCTGATGTGTTCACTAGCGTTAGATGCGTCTATGGTTCACTGACGGTTGACTGATGGTCCAATCAGACGGTTCTTGAGGGCCACTAGGACGGTCTGATGAGTTCCCATGAAGGTCTGATGTCTGATGGTCCACTAGACGGTCTGATGGTCCACTAGGACGGTATGATGGTCCACATAGACGGTCTGATGGTACACTAGACGGGTTGATGGTTCATAGACGGGTCTGATGGGGACAGACGGTGTCGTTCTGATGGTCCCACTAGACGGTCTGATGGTTCCACCTAGACGGTCTGTATGATGTTCACGAGACGGTATGATGGTTACTAGACGGTCTGATGGTCCACTAGACGGTCTGATGCAGTCCACTAGACGGTCTGATGGTCCACGGTCCTCTGATGGTTCACTAGGCGGTCTGGGTTCCTAGGACGGTCTGATGGTCCGATTGGTTACTAGACGGTCTGATGGTCTGATGGTCAACTCTAGACGTCTGATGGTCCACTTAAGACGGTGAATGCGATGGGGGAAAGAGAGAAAGCAGTAGTGGGAGGACGGGAACCCTCACAACTTCCTCATACTCCAATACTGGTCAATCCCTCACTCCGACATCCTCGCAGGCTCTCTGTGTTCATCCCAATGCCTCATCGCCCTTTTACCCCCTTCAAAACCACGCATCCCCATCTCTTAATTCCCACTCACTCCGCCGGGAGGTTTCCCGTTCCCCCTATAACTTTACCCCCACACCCTCTCCCCTGCTTTCTCAATCCACCCCGCAATCGCCATTCTTCCACACCTACCTCCTCGTCATCCCTTTTTGATACCCACGTTCACTGTACCCCTATCCATACTACTTCCTTTCCGTCTCCTTCCCACCTCCTATGTTTTACCTCTCACCTAAACCCGTCATCTTCTCCCCCCATCCCACAACCATTCTGTAGTCCTCGTATTTACATCATTACAAACTCCCCTTTCACTAGACGCGTCTGATGGTCCACTAGACGTCTGATGGTCCACTAGACGGTCTGATGGTCCACTAGACGGTCTGATGGTTGCACTAGACGGTATGATGGTCACTTAGACGGTCTGATGGCTTCATAGACGGTCTGATGGTTTTCACTAGACGGTTCTCGATGGTGCACTAGACGCGTATGATGGTCTGATGGGCCACTAGACGGTCTGATGGTCCAATAGAAGGGCTGATGGTCACGGTCTGATGCGTGTCACTAGACGGGTCTGATGGTCCACTAGACGGTCTGATGAGGCAACTAGCGGAGGTTTGATGGTTCACTAGATGGTCTATGGTCCCTAGACGATGATGGTTGATGGTCCAATAGACGGTCTGATTGCGTACCACAGACGGTCTGATTGGTACAATAGTAGACGGTTTATGATGGTCCACGGTCTGATGGTTCACTAGCGGCGATGGTCCACTAGACGGTCTGATGGTTCCACCTAGACGGTTGGATGGTCCACTAGACGGTATCGGATTGGTCCACTAGACGGTCTGATGGTACACTAGATGGTCTGATGGTCTGTATGGTCTAAACTAGACGGCTGAGGGTCAACTAGACGGTCTGATGGTCTGAGGGGTCACTAGACGGTCTGAGGTCTGATGGTCCAATAGAGGTGTTGATGCGTTTTCCCACAGATGCGTTAGATGAGTCCAATAGAAGTGTATGATGGTTCACTAGACGGTCTGCTGGTCTCCACTAGACGGTTCTTGATGGTCAACTAGACGTATGATGGTTCAATAGACGGTTTATGATGTGCACTAGACGGGTTCTGATGGTCACTGACGGTTGATGGTTCATCCAATAGACGGTCTGATGGTCCACTAGACGGTCTCTGATGGTCCACTAGCGGTCTGATGCGTCCACTTAGACGGTCGATGGTACAATAGGGGGAAAAAACGGGTTTTTTCTGATGGTCACTAGACGGTTTGAGGGTTCTGATGGTCCACTAGATGGTCTGATGGTAACTCAGACGGTGATGGTTTTCACTAGACGTTAGATGGTCACTAGCGGTTCTGATGGTCCACTAGACGGTCTGATGGTCCACTAGACGGTCTGATGGTATGATGGTCAACTAGACGCGTCTGTCTGGATGGTTCACTAGACGGTCTGATGGTCTGAGGTCCAATAGATGGTCTGATGGTTCACTAGACGGTTCTGATGGCCATAGACGGTATGAGGTCACTAGACCGGTTCTGATGAGTACACTAGACCGGTCTGATGGTTCCACTAGACGGTCTGATGCTTCCACTAGACGGTCTGATGGTCCCTAGGACGGTCTGATGGTACACTAGACGTCGATGGTACAACTAGACGTGTCTGATGGCTCCACTAGACTCTATGGTCCATAGACGGTCTGCTGGTCCACTAGACGGTCTGACGGATCCACTCTAGACGGTCTGATGTCCATCTAGACGGTCGGATGGTCTGATGGGCCACTAGACGTTCTGATGGTCTGATGGTCCATAGACGGTATGTGTCCACTAAGGGTCTGATGGTCTGATGGTTCACTGACGGTCTATGTCCACTAGATGGTCTGATGGTCCACAGACGGTCTGATGCGTCACTTAGACGGTTCTGATGGTCCACTAGACGGTCTGATGTCACTAGAAGGTTATGGTTCACAGACGGTTCTGATGTCAACTAGACGGTCTGATGGTACACTAGACGGTATGATGGCCACTAGAGGTCTAGGATGGTCCCACTAGACGGTCTGATGGTCCACTAGACGGTTCTGATGGTCCACTAGACGGTCTGATGGTACACTTAGACGGTTGATGGTCCACCTAGACGGTCTGCATGGTCTGATGGCTCCACTAGATGGTATGATGTTCACTAGACGGTCTGATGGTTCACTAGACGGTTTCTTCTGATGGTTCACTAGCCGAGTCTGATGGCCAAGGTCTGATGGTCACTAGAGTTTCTGATCGGTTCACTAGAACGGTCTGATGGTATGATGGTTCCACTAGACGGTCTGATGGTTCACTAGACGGTCTGAGGGTCAACGGCTGATGCGTCCACTAGACGGTTCTGATGGTTCACATAGACGAGTATGATGGTTCCAATAGACGGTCTGATGGTTCACTAGGCCGGTTTCTGATGGTCATAGACGTCTGATGGTCCACTAGATGGTCTGATGGTCAATAGACGGTCTGGATGGGTCCACTAGACGTCTGATGGTTCACAGACGGTATGGATGGTCTGATGGTTCACTAGCCGGTCTGATGGTCACTAGACGGTCTGATGGTTCACTAGACTGTATCTGATGGTTCACTAGACGTGATGGTCCCAATAGACGGCTGATGGTTCACTGAGAAGGTCTGATGGTCTGATGGTTCACTAGACGGTTGATGGTATGATCGGGTTTTCACTAGACGGATATCGGAGGTCTTGATGGTTCACTAGACGGTATGATGGTCCACTCGACGGTCTGATGGTGTCACTAGACGGTTCTGATGGTCTGCTGGTTTAATAGACGGTCTGATGGTTCGATGGTCACTTACGGCTATGATGGTCACATCTAGCGGTCTGATGGTTACAAGAGACCGGTATGAATGGTTCACTAGACGAGCTGATTGTCATCTAGACGGTCATGCATGGTTCACTAGACGGTTCTGATGGGTCCACTAGACGGTTCTGATGGTTCATGATGGTCACACTGACGGTCTGATGCGTACTCACTAGCGTCCCTGTGATGCATTCACTAGATGGTATGATGGTTCAACTAGACGGTCTGATGTCCAATAGATGGTTGATGGTGTTCACTAGACGAGCTGATGGTTCACTAGACGGTATGATGTGATGGTCACTAGAACGGTTCTGATGGTCAATAGACGGTCTGATGGTTCACTAGACGGTTCTGATGGTAAATATAGACGGTTCTGATGGTTCACTAGACGGCTGAGGGTCAACGGTTGTGGTACACTAGACGGTCTGATGGCTCCACTAGACGGTTCCTGATGGTACACTACGACGGTTCTGATGGTCCAACTAGACGGTTCTGATGGTTCACTAGACGGTCTCCTCTGATGGTTTCACAGACGGGTCTCGATGGTCCCACACTAGACGGTATGATGGTCACTAGAGGTTGATGGTCCCTAGACGGTTCTGATGTCCACTAGACGGTTTGATGGTTCCCACTAGACGGTTCTGATGGTCTTATTGGTCCACTAGACGGTCTGATGGTCCACTAGACGGTTGATGGTCCACCTAGACGGTATGATGGCTCCAATAGATGGTCTGATGCGTCCAATAGCGGTCTGATGGTTCACTAGACTGATGGTTCACTAGACCGGTTTCTGATGGTATGATGGTTCACTAGACGGTCTGATGGTCCGATTGTCCCACTCGACAGGTTGATGGTTCTGATGTTCACCTAGACGGTTCTGATGGTTGATCGGCTTCACTAGATCGGTTCTGGATGGTTTCTGAGGGTCCACAGACGGTTCTCTGATGTCCACTAGACGGTTGATGGTTCCACTAGGACGGTCTGATTGGTCCACTAGACTGTCCTGAGGGCGCCAATAGCCGGTCTGATTGGGACACTAGACGGTCTGATCGGTCCACTAGACGGTCTGATGTCACTTAGACGGTCTGAGGGTTCTCTTCACATAGACGGTCTGGTGGTTACTGATGGTACACTAGCACGGCTGAGGTTCATAGACCGGCGTCCTGATGGTGGATGGTCACTCTAGACGGTATGATGGTTCAGAGGAAGGTCCTTGATGGCTTCACTAGACGGTTTTTCTGATGGGTTCCACTGAGACGGCTGATGGTCCCACCCCCTAGACGCGTTCTGACGGGCCTTCACTAGACGACGTCTGCATGGTCCCTACCCCCGTTGTAGGTTAAGATCAGACCCATGACCAAGGGCTATTATAGTCAGTGTACTAGTACCCAGTCTATAAAGATTTTTGACACAACTACTCATTCAAGGTCTTTTGGTTTTCTTTATTTTTCTATTTCCTCTCTCATAGCCTACTTAGCTAGGCACTGGAGGAGGAGGACGGTGAAGGATAGCATACAGCAGGACACTGGAGGAGGACGGTGAAGGATAGCCTACAGCAGGACACTGGAGGAAGGAGTGAAGGATGAGCCTACCCACCAGCAGACACGGGAGGAGGACGGTGAAGGACAGCCTAGCAGCAAGGACACTGGAGTGAGGACGTGGTGAAGGATCAGCCTTACAGCCAGGGACCAATGGGGAGGACGGGTGTAAGCCGATTAACGCCTACAGCAGGACACTAAAGAGAGGACGGTGAAGGATTTAGCCTACAGCGGACCACTAAACGAGGACGGTGAAGGAGCGATCTAGCCTACAGCAGGCATCTAAGGAGGACGGGGAAGGAATAGCCTACAGCAGGACACTACGGGAGGCGCCGCGTGAACGGATAGCCTAATGCCAGGCACCACTTTTTTAAAGGAGGCGGTGAAGGATAGCGACAGCAGGACACTAAAGGAGGTAAGGTGTGAAGGCATAGCTTACAGCACGAACACTACTTCACCCCACAGGCGGACGGTAGAGCTTAGCCTACAGCAGGACACTAAAGGAGGACGTGTGAAGGATTGTTAGTTCCTACAGTCGAGGATCACTTAAAGGAGAGACGTCGTTTGGAAGGATTGCCTACATCTTGAAGGATCCCAATAAAGTACTGCAGGACCCGGTGAATTGTAGTTGCCCAAATTGCCCCTACCAGCCAGGGCCACCTAAAGCGAGGACGGTGAATGGATTAGTTTCTTACAGCATTGGACCACTAAAGTTTGAGGACGGTGATTCCCAGGACTAGCCTACAGCCGGACACTCCTAAAGGTATTTGGACGGCTGATGAAGGTAGCCTACAGCAGGACACTGGAGGTGAGAAGGGGTTTGAAGGATTTAGCCCCCCTACAGACACGGACACTTTTCCCTAAATCCATTTCCCCCCCCCTCGTTGATTTTCTGTAGCTCGTCTCCCAGCCCAATAGTAAGGTGATCTCATCCAACCACATTTCCCCGGTTCCATCAAACGGTTTCCCCTATAGCGGCAAAACAGGATCGCCCCATTTACCGAACCGTGTACGGCACACGGCTCCTCCCAAGCCGCATCTACAACGGTAAAGTTCGTTTGGATTTGCCGAAAATTTCAATTGGTCTGCTATCATGAGATCTCCTCGGACGGATAAGTTCAGCAGGGTGTATTAGGAAGGAGGAGGGAAGATAAGAATGAGCGTTGTTGAGCATTCGGCATATGTGGTGAAGGGGTTGAGGACATTAGAACATTGCATGAAAATGGTAGAGAGGAGCTTCCCGCAGTGGAGATACACGGTCTCCATTTCTCTCCGCCCCCGTTTCTTCTCCTCCTCCTGTCCCGGTTTTTTTCTATGACTCCCCTCATCTCTTTCTCCGCATTGGCCACCACTCTTCCCCTTTTCTCTCTCCAACCCCTTCTCTTTTGGTTCTCCTCGTCTAGTCTTGTCCATTTTGCCCCCCCCCTGACTTCCTTACGTCTCCCTCCCCTCCCCCCCCCCCCCCCCCTCCTTATCCCAGGCCACACTCTGCCCCTCCTCTATTCCCCCCGGTTCCCCCCTCTCCACCTTCCCCGTGGCCCATCTATCCTTTCTTCTCTTTTCCCTCCCCCTCACCGCCTTACCGCCCCTTTTCTCCCGCTCTTCCACCCCCGTTTGTCCGGACTCTACTCTTCCACGAGGCCTGAGGATGTTGAGGACTGACGTGACGGCTTAGCCTACCGCAGGGACCACTAAAGGAGGACGTGATGACATCAGGATAGCCTACACCGCCAGGACACTAAAGGAGGACGCGTAGAAGGTAGAATACAGCAAGGACACTAGAGGAGGACGGTGAAGGATGAGCCTACAGCAGGGGACAACTAAAGGACCCGGACGGTGAAGGATAGCCCCTACAGCAGGCAACTGGAGGAGGACGTGACAGGATGCCTACAGTATGACCATGGTAGGCGGGACGGTGAAGGGATAGGGCCTACAGCAGGACAATAAAGGCGGACGGTGAAGGAACGCCTACAGACAGAACACTAATACCGGAGAAACAGCCCCTGAAGGATAGACGACAGCAGGAAACTGGAGGAGGACGGTTGTGTGCCTAGGATCATAGCCTACAGCAGGGACATGGAGGAGGATCCGGTGCTGAAGGCTAGCCTACCAGCAGGACACGAAAGGAGGACGGCTGAAGGTTATAGCCTTTACCAGCATTGACACTGGCGGATTTGGATGGTGAAGGTTAGCCATACAGCAGACACTGGAGTGAGGATGGTGAAGGACAGCTCTCTTCTACAGCTTAGGACACGGAGTCGAGGACGGTGAACAGTGATTTATAGCCTTACAGCAGGGACACTTTTGGAGGAGGACGGTGAAGGCATCTCTGCCCTATTAGCATGTGACACTAAAGGAGGGACGGTGAAGGTAGCCCCCTACAGCAGGACACCCTAAAGGAGGATGGATGAAGCGATAGCGAAAGCAGGAACTGCGAGTTCCCCCCGTGCACGGTGCTGAAGGATAGCCTACAGCAGGACACTGGAGGCCAGGACGGTGAAGGATAGCCTATAGCAGCGACAATAAAGAGGACGGTGAAATAAGCCTACAGCAGGGACACTGGAGGAGAACAGCTGAAGGGATGAGAATACAGCAGGGATTCACCCTGGAGCGAGGACATGTGAAGGATTTCTCCTTAGCCTTACAGTCTTTTATGACACTAAAGGGAGGAGGTGAAGGAATGCCTAACAGCAGGACACTTTGGCTGGAGCTCGACGACGAGTGAAAGGATAGCTTTTTACCCTACAGCAGGACACTGGAGTCGTGAGGACCCATTTTGGTGAAGGAGAGCCTACAGTTCTCCTGGACACTTGAGCTGCAGGATCGCGTGACTGTGAAGGATAGCTACTTAGCGGACACTGGAGTGACGGTACGGTTGAAGCGATAGCCTACAGCAGGACATGGAGTGAGGACGCGTGAAAAGAATATGCCTATAGCAGGACATCTGGCAGGAGGACGGTTTGAAGGATAGCCTACTTTACGCTAGGAACTGGGAGGGAGGACGGGAATAGGATTAGACTACAGCACCCCCGCTTCCTTTTTTTTTTTCCCACTTTTCTTTTTTTCTCTCCTCCGGACATAAAGGAGGATGGTTGTGAAGGATAGCCCCCTAAGCAGGCTCCACGTCCCGACACTAAAGGAGGCGGTGACTGAAGGAAAAAGCCTACAGCAGGACATCTCAAAGCTAGGAGTGAAAGGCAGTAGCCTACAGCAGGACACTCGGATGGACCGGCCGGTGATGATGAAAGATAAGCCCCCTACCAGTCAGGACACTGGAGCAGATGGACGGTGATGAAGGATCATAGCTACAGCAGGACACGGCAGCTGAGGCACGGTGAAAGATTACGCCTATAGAAGGACACAAAGGAGGACGTGTATGATTGAGGACGAGCCTACCACAGGACACTGGGGAGAGCCGGTGAAAGGATAGCCTACAGCAGGACACTAAAGGAGGACGGTGAAGGATAGCCTACAGCAGGACACTAAAGGAGGACGGTGTGTGAAGAAAGGAAATTGCCTACAGCAGGACAACTTATTAAAGGAGGAACGGGTGTGATCAGCGATAGCCGACAGACCAGGCACATGGAGGAGGACGGTGATGACAGGATAGCCTAGAGCAGGAAATGGAGGAGGCGGTGAAGGATAGCCTACAGCAGGACACTGGAGGAGGACGGTGAAGGATAGCCTACAGCAGGACACTAAAGGAGGACGGTGAAGGATAGCCTACAGCAGGACACTGGAGGAGGACGGTGAAGGATAGCCTACAGCAGGACACTAAAGGAGGACGGTGAAGGATAGCCTACAGCAGGACACTGGTGGAGGATGGTGAAGGATAGCCTACAGCAGGACACTAAAGGAGGACGGTGAAGGATAGCCTTACAGCGAGGAAACTGGAGTTGAGAGGTGCAGAACAGTGAAGGATAGCCTATAGCAGGACACTGGACTGATTCACTTGCAGAGAAATCCCACGTCTTTTTGTTTACACCACTGGGAAGAGTATTACTCAACTCTCTCTTCTCCATCTTCCTCATTCCACCTCTCTTTGGACAGTTCTGTGCTGATTAACAATAATATACCTGGTTCGATTAGAAGAAACCTGGCACAAAAATGGATTTTAGAACGCTGGCAAGATGGGGGTATTGTTTGACTTAGTATACATGTTCAGTAACCATTCACAACAATACAAATGTTTGGTATTTTTTCCAAACAGTGGAATAACCCACATTTCTCTCATTATGAAATTATAAAAATGTCAAATATATATATTTATTTATTTTTCCCAGTTGATTATCCTGCATGCGGCACCTACTAAATACATGGTATAAAAAGTGCAACGTTCTCTTTCTGAATTAGGAGGAGTGCTATGGTGTCTCCAGGAACACGTGGGTAATGGCAGTAGGAGGTTGGTTAGCCCCCCGCGTGGCTCTATGGTTGTAGGACCAGGGTATATGAAGGTGAATGATTAGGAGGAGTGCTATGGTGTAGGAACAGGGTAATGATTAGGAGGAGTGCTATGGTGTAGGAACAGGGTAATGATTAGGAGGAGTGCTATGGTGTAGGAACAGGGTAAGGCTAGGCCAGGAGGGCATGGTGTAGGACAGGGCCCCCCCATACGTAAGTGATTAGGAGGCAGTGGTAGAACAGGCGGTGGTCATGATTAGGATCGAGTGCCATGGTGTGGAAACAGGGTAATGATAGGAGGAGTGCTATGGTGATAAGGAACAGTGTAATGATTAGGAAGGACGTGCCCCACTGGTTGTCGGAAAAGGGGGAATGATTAGGAGGAAGTGCTATGGCTGTAGGAACAGGTATGACTTAGGAGAGAGGTATGGCTGTAGGAACAGGGTAATGATTAGGAGGAGTGCCATGGTGTAGGAACAGGGTAATGATTAGGAGGAGTGCTATGGTGTAGGAACAGGGTAATGATTAGGAGGAGTGCTATGGTGTAGGAACAGGGTAATGATTAGGAGGAGTGGTAGGAACAGGTTAATGATTAGGAGGAGTGCCATGGTGTAGGAACAGGGTAATGATTAGGAGGAGTGCTATGGTGTAGGAACAGGGTAATGATTAGGAGGAGTGCTATGGTGTAGGAACAGGGTAATGATTAGGAGGAGTGCCATCGGTCGTAGGAAACAGGGGATGTCAGATTCGGAGGAAGTGGTCTTAGGAAACCCGGGTCAACCTGATTAGGAGGAGAGGCCATGGTGTAGGAACAGGGTAATGATTAGAGGAGTGCTTATGGGTGTCAGGAACAGGGTCATGATTAGGAGGAAGGAAGTGCTTGGTTGTAGGAAAAAACCCCCCCAGGTTAATGGTAAGATTAGGGAGGCTGCTATGGGTAGGCAACAGGGTTAAATGATAGGAGGGGTGGAGGAACAGGGTAATGATTAGGAGGAGTGCTATGGTGTAGGAACAGGGTAATGATTAGGAGGAGTGGTAGGAACAGGGTAATGATTAGGAGGAGTGCCATGGTGTAGGAAACAGGGTAATGATTAGGAGGAGTGCTATGGTGTAGGAACAGGGTAATGATTAGGAGGAGTGGTAGGAACAGGGTAATGATTAGGAGGCTAGTGCCTAGCGGTGTAGAACAGGGTATGATTAGGAGGATTGCTATGGGTTGGTAGGGAAACAGGGGTAATGATTAGGAGGAGTGCTATGGTGTAGGAACAGGGCAATGCTCTAAACGTAAAAATAAAACTAGCATGTGTTCATCTAGGATGTATTACAAAAATAGTTCACAATCCCCTTTTTGAAGCAGAATATTACTCAAAGACAACAGGGACATTAGATGTATTTACATCGTTTGCTCTTAACCTAACAGCTAGACTATAAAAGGTTATCAGTGATCACAATACAGGTGGAATATAAAAGGTGATCAGTGTAAAAGGAAGGGTCAGACTAGTTGTGGATGCTGATTGTATTCCATGGCAGATCTGAGACCAGAGTTCTGCCTGCAGCTCAGAGACTATAATCCTCCCTTCTGGTTTTGCCTCTTGGGACCATGTAGGAAACACACCCACGCTAGCTAAGCAGCTAGCTGACACCCCGTACAATGAGGCATATACAGCTGCATGGGAGAGAGTGGAGGTCTGTGAGGGGTCTGCATGGTCTGCCCTCCCCTTAGGGGATAGTCTGCCATTAACCAGGTTATGATCAGATCTGGGGTCAGTCGGCTGGTGGAAGAGAGAGACTGGGGTCAGGTATGATCAGGTCTGGGGTCAGGTTATGATCAGGTCTGGGGTAATTCAGGCCCGCAGGATACAAAGTCGATGGGGCAGGATAGGAAGCAGTGGAGCGGGGCTGGGAAATCGAAAGACCTGTGGAAAATTTGGGGCTAATTGGAGGGTGGCGGCCTGGATGGCAGGGTGGTCCTGGGGTTAAAGGTCAGGGTCAGAACCCCCCTGGACGAAGGG